AGAAACAATAGCTTCTAATCCCTGTAACACCTTCTTAAAAAAGGGGATTCATCTTCCAGGGAACTTTGAGACCAATAGACTAGGAACATGCTATTTGGGCCATAATTTAGGGCTTTGGAGTTTGTATGGTTTTGTTTTGGTGCAAAGGAGGAGCTGAGTTGAAACTCTTTCCAACTCTGACCCCACTACATGCAAGCATCCTTTTAATACCAGAGAACTGACTTGATGATCTGTAAGGTCTTTTCCAACCTGAGCAATTCTATGATTCTACGATAATACACCTGTGTCTAGAACACGTACTGTTCAGTTAACCATACATTAACACTTTAAAAACAAAATATGGTCAAAAAACTTTGGTTTTTTTGAAAATAAAATATGGACCTTGAGAACACGCTCTGGAGTGAGTAGATAGCTGTAAAAAGACCAATTACTTTGAAAACAGTCAATTATTAAGTGTATGTCCTTTTGAGTAGAAGGACATCTGTTATAGAGGTGACCAGAAGGCTGATGGTCACCTGAGCCATTTCAACATGGCCTGTGAGATGCCCAGGAACCTCTGAAGGAGCCCACATCCTGCAGTGACCTCCATCCAGCTGCCACATAAAGGCTATGTCAGCCAGCAGGGCACAGTTGTTGCCGAACTGGACTCAGACACGGAATGAGTCTGAGTTCCATGCTAAAGAGGAGCTGCTATATCATCATATGTGGGCTGTTCACTTCCTGATTCCTGACCTAGTGAACATCATGATTTCAGAAGCGCACTGTAGTTTACTCTGCTACACAAGTCAGCACATGGGTGTTGCACCAATGAGTTCTCTTCCAATAAATCATTACCATATATGCTTGGAACCATTATTGAAAGTTTGATGTCCATGCCATTTTTAATTAACAATTTTGAAACAACAACAAAAATAAACCCCAAAGTCACACACGTTATGGACTATTTATCTGCTATTTCTTTCTTTCATCAAAGCTGCTCCTGCATTACAAAAGCATAATAAAAATCCCCGTATTGTTGAGGACTAGTAGACATTTTTTCTTCATTTGCATAAACAAGAAAACTCAAACAAACAGAAGCCCAAAACCATCCAACCCTGCCCCCAAAACAGTTAAAAAGTTTGAAACTTAGCTCAAGATTTCTCTTAAAAAAAACCCATGTCTTTCAGCCAAACAATACTGCTAAAGTAATGTGAGCGCTTTGCTTTAAAAATGTGCTTTTTGAGTTCACAGAGAGCAGCAGACAAAAAATAAGTCAGCCATGAAGCACGTTCTGATTTTTAACTATCCTTTGACGGATGGGTTGCTTCCAAAATTGCTTAACAAGGAAGGGGAGAAAAAAAGTTACAGGCCCACATTTTAAAGACTGTCAGCTGCATAGACCAAAATGTTGCTAACTCGCTGGCAGCCTTACGGGCCGCTTCTGTCATGATCTGAAACACATGATTCAATTAATGCAAGGTACATATCTTTGTAGTAGTTGACAAGGTTGATAACAAGGTTAACAAGCGTTTCGCCATTTTCTTGCTTGTTCCTTTTCTCTGGCAAAAACAGCTGTGATCACTCAGCAGGTCCTAAATAACCAAGTCACAGAAAACAAACAAAGAAGCCATTTTATATTTCCATGTGACAAGAATGAACAAATAACACGATTTGGGCAATCTCTCAAGAGCGCATTAGTGCCAAATTCACTATGCGTTACACTGGACAATCAAGTTACTTGAGGACTTAAACAACCCAGAACCTATTTGAAAGAGCACAGCAAGCCAAGAAAGGCATGTGTGGAATCCAGACTGGGGGTGAGTCTGGCAAAGCCAACTGCTGTGCCAAGCCAACACAAGGTCAGTTACTTCATTATTTGCATACTACAGTCCAACTTGCATTGTCATGGATATGCTCTGTCCTTAGGAGGCAGTGACAGTTTGAATTTATTCTTAGGAAACCAAAACATTTCACTTAACTGTTCAACATGCGAGATTTTCATGAGAGAAGTAAATTTAGTTACATTTCCAACAGGATTCCAGAGCTACTTTTCTTTTTTTTTTTTTTTTGTGCATTCGACCCTCAGAACCAAACTGAATATAAGGCTAAAAGGTTTAAAAGATTAACAGAGTCAATCTTTTAAAAAGTTAAAAAATTAAAAAAAAAAGTTACCAGAAGCCAGAAGACAATAATATAGCACCTGAAAGTGGAAGAGTCACACAATATTTTTGACATTCATGTCTTGCATAGACAAATGCTTATTTGTTTTTTTTCCTCCAGACAACTCTGCTTCAGAAAATAAATCTTAAATCAACTTTAATTACAGTTAAATGCATGTGTTTCCATTTTTTTCAAAATACATTACTTTATTTCCTTGTTAACTGCTACACGTCTAATAGTTTTAAGAAACTATCATCCCTTGGAAAGACCGTTGCACCCTTTTGGGCTGTCAAGTTCATAAAGTCAGGAAGCTGAACTGCCTTATAATTCTTTCTCCACATGATTAGAGAAACAAATCGATTCACACATTAGATCTCTACACCAGAAGAAGGTCCATAAACCTGAAACTACTTTTACAGCATAGGAAATGAGACCTCTAGCCCTTCACAGCAGGTCTGTCTTCTGGCCATATTCTGACTTGAAACAACACGTGGCACACACCAGGTCCACATGAAGTTCTTCCCTTCCAACCCCTTCACCCATGCACTGGTTTCCACTGGGAGAAAACATCATCATGCAGAAGGTTGGAAGGTTCTCCAAGAGGTTCCTAATCATGATCAGGGACCATAAGAGGGAAGCAATTCTTACACAGGCAAACGCAGCCCTTATGGAGTTTCCCTGAGGTCAGCAGGACTCCAATATGACCCAATACCCAGATCTAGGAAAGTCTCTGCAGAGCCAGAGCCATGCCTATTGATTCTAAATGTTTTCCAGTATGATGATTACTTTTGTTATATTTTTGGAATATATTTAAAATATATATACTGACCAATTTGAATTCGCTTACCAAATGCAGTGCTTCTAAAGTTGAAGAGAAATGAGAAATCCAGAGGGATCCAGACAGGCTGGAGATGTGGGACCATGTGAATCTAAAGAAGTTCAACAAGGCCAAGTGCAAAGTGCTGAACTTCATCTGGGGCAATCCCAGGTGTTTTATACAAACTGGGCAAAGAACCCCTTGAGAGCAGCCCCATAGGAGAAGGAGGTCCTATAAACCAGAAGCTGGACGTGAGCCAGCAGTGTGTGCTTACAGCCTGGAAGGTCAGCTGTGTTCTGGGCTGCATTAAAGAAAGGTGGCCAGCAGGGACAGGGAGGTGATTGTCACCTTCTACTCGGCTCTTGTGAGGCCCCATCTGCAGCACTGCGTCCAGGTCTGGGGCCCCCAGTGCAGGAAGGACATGGAGCTCTTGGAGCGGGGCCAGAGGAGGGCACTAAGATGACCAGAGGGCTGGAGCACCTCTCCTGTGGAGACAGGCTGAGGGAGCTGGGCTTGAGCAGCCTAGAGAAGAGAAGGCTCTGGGAAGACCTCATTGGGGCCTGCCAGTATTTGAAGGGAGCATACAAACAGGAGGGGGAATGGCTGTTCACGTAGCTGCATAGCAATAGGACAAGGGGGAACGGTTTTAAACTGAGACAGGGAAGGTTCAGGTTAGATATTAGGAAGAAGTTTTTCACACAGTGGGTGGTGACACACCGGAACAGGTTGCCCACGGAGGCTGTGGATGCCCCATCCCTGGAGGCGTTAAAGATGTGGCTCTGGGCAGCCTGGTCGGGTGGTTGGCGACCCTTCACATAGCAGGGGGGTTGAAACCACACGATCTTTGTGGTCCTTTTCAACCCAGGCCATTCTAGGATCATGAGATCTGTTTGCTTATCACAGAAATCCTGGGACAAGTGGTCTAAAACCTCTTGTTTTGTATTAATGATCTGGGTTAGATTGCAAAAGATTTGAAGTTTCAATAGTTGTGACTGCAGAAGAATAGCAGTGATTAAAACAAACAAACAAACAAAAAAAACCAAAAAACAAAAAACAAGTGAGCTCTTCTGTTGCCTACAAACTGGGGACAGGGATAATTATACATGAGTTTAATGTTAGGTTCCCTATAAAGACTTTGTAAATAACTGTCTAATGTAAACATACACTTCTCCTGGATAACGTTGCTTTGTTTAAGCCAGCAATCTTACACATCAAAAAAGGAAGAACACAACCCCCCCCCCCCCCCCCAAATTGTGAAAAACAAAACAAAACCAAAACAACAACAAAACCACACTTCTATGCAGCTCGTACCTACTACAGAATTCTCACCAAATTAAAATACAGAGTTCCAGTTCCATATGTTCAGTAATACCTTTGGTTATATCGGTAAACCTCTTTCGTTCTAATAATTAACTGTCTCTAGTTGGACAACAGAACTATTTCATGTTCTTCCCTTTCATAGGGGCTTCTGTTAGTTTCACTTTCCGGATATTTATATCAAGAGAAGGTCACAGTATTCTCAGGAGAAAAACTGCAAGGAGTGAGGTGTGTGGGAGGAAGAAGGAATGGAGAAGCCAAGCTGGTAACATTTTCTTTCTAAAAAAATAAGCTTTCAGAAGTTTGCAAGCCCCAGTGCCTATTTTCAACTGAGTTCAAAATGGTAGATAAACTGTATGTATTCCAGCCAGCTGCACAGATACTAAATCATCTTAGTCGTCTTAAAAAAGAAAAAAAAAAAAAGCTGAGTTCTGCTTTAGTTCACCCTTCTCCTTTCACTGCTGGCTAATCACTGCCCTCCCAGGTTCACTGCTGTACTGTTTCCTTGCCTGCCTTGAAGCTGGTGGGGAAAGCTCTGCAGGTAGTAGACCTGGAGGAGCAACTTGTCATGGAGGGGAAGGAAGGAGACAGAATGGTTTGTTCTTCTAGCATAAATTTCCTTCTAGGCCAATTTGGAAGAACAGATTTTACCATGGCCCTGTACGCACTGAGAAGTTATTATTCATCTGCCTACGTGCTACAAGTACAAAGATTAGAGCCATTATTAAATATTAACAAGGGCAGCTGAATAATCCCCTCACAGAAACCAAAAGCGTAGCCTGTTACATAAAGGGAAGTGCTTCTGGAGTTAAAACAAAGACGACTAAGAACAGGATGTGTTTCTTGGTTCTAGTTATCTCTGGCATCCTTCATAGGAGCAGTAGGTTGAACGTTTCCAGAGGAGTGTGATTTGTACATGATAGCAGTCTTGTAAAATATTTTAGGGTTCAAATGGATTTGAGAATAGCTTTTGGGATAGTCATGCTATCTTTTGTCAGCCATTTGCTATGACCTTTAACAAATGCGGTGCACGAGCAGCAAAGCAGAGAACTTAAGAAAACCAGAATTGTTTAGAAGGTACCACTCCAGCTGCAGCAGATCATTACAGGATTTGAACTTGGAAGCAAAATCCTCAGCCAGGAATAAACGAAAGCTATTGCAGAAACATCACGAGTGTTAATTAAGTCCCAACATCAGCTTTTCAAAATAGCTACCAATCACTTAAAACTAGCATTATTGTACATGTATGCGTACCAGCGATCCTGGCATTTCTGAGTTTTTTTTTCATACCAATTTAAACTAGCCTTGTAATGCAGTCTTTAAAGACCTACTTCCAAGCATTTAAGCATATAAAAAAAAAAAGTACAGGCTTTAATTCCACAGAAATCAATGGGACTTAAAGCATATGCCTGAGTATTTTGGAAAGCAGAAATGAAGTTCTCAAATATTTGCAGAGTTCTGCTCAAACACAATGAAGATTCTGCAAGCTAACATCCTCTTCCCTGTCATGTTAGAAATGCAACTAGATTTGGTTTTAATGAGAAAAGATTACTGGCTTTGATCCAACCCAACATAGGGACAAAGGGACAGGGTTAAAATGAGAATATTGAGCATACCGTGACTCTTGGAGTCTTATTCGAAACACAAAGTTCCAAAAGTAAGTGTTCACGGATAAACAGAGACTCCAAACTTTGGAGGGGGGGGGGGAAAAGAGAGGGACAGGGTGAAATTAATTGTTACCACAAAACATATTTTCATTGCTAGTTTTTCGTTTTTAAATGACATACAAGGATCTTCTACTCTAATAAAGCCTGCTGTATACTCTGGTGGCGACCTTCGGATTTGAGGAAATTTTATATAAACCCATAAATTATTTCTTTTTGTAGTGGGGGGAAAATATTTTCAATACAGTGGAGTGATAGCAAAATTCATAATGATGCAGTACACAACTTTTAACTTTTCAGAATCGGGTCTACAAACTATAAACTCTTAAATTTCTCCAATAACTGGAAATGTTGTGGGTATTTGAATTTACTTACCTGAACAGTCATTGAGCAAATATCTTCAGATACAAGTCTAGATGCAGAGTTAATGGAATTTGAATATTACACATAATATAAATCAACGTTTGACAATATCAAAACCCCATCAAACAGTGGGCCCTTCTTATGCTATTATCAAATATACGTTTACTCTATCACTGTAGGATAGCTGAGAATCATAGAGTGCTACCGTAGGCTCGTTTATTAAATTTGGTCAGTTTTCAGACCTTCCAAATAGGAATACTAAACATTTATTTTTCCCCTCTGGAAATTTTTTTTTTTTTTTTTTAAACTCCTGCATAATACAGTTGTCATCCCAATTCCTCATGAATTTATAAAAATATTTTTTTTTATCCAATAATCCCGGTAAGGTAAAAATAGGAGTTTTTATAGCAAATGATAAACAGGCTCATGGACTATGAGAGAAACTAAACTCACTGAAGTTGCCATACATTCGCTACTGAATCACACATGGCCTTTTTCTTTGTGTGTGTGTTGCTGTCCACCTCAGACTAGCAGTTTTTAAGGTGCAGAAGCATCTTTCAAATACACGCATCAAACTTAACGATCAAGTTCCTCACATGCTTTAAATTTACATCACCTGCCCATCAAGAGCCGTGTTAAATAACAGCACTAATTGAAACTGCATAATTCTTTAGAAATGGCAGCACTTCCAATTCAGAGAATAAAGGGGTGCTTACGTGGTTCTTTATATTACTAGATAATATTTTCTGAAATAAGAAAATGAAATGGAAAAAAAAACCAAAACAACCACATTTGAAAGAAGTTGCTGCACCTGCAAAAACACTCTTTAAGCTTACTATGAAATACAAAAAAGTGCACCCTTCTATATCTACATATAAAACATATTAGAAATAAAACTTGTGTAAAATGTTTGCTGTGCAAACTATAAAAACAGTCAGTCAGTCCATTCTTTTTCCTAAACGTTGTGACACACTCTCATGCTTCCTACTGCAGAGAATCGCTGTTATCCAAAACCAGCCCACTGATATTTGTCGTTGAGAGATCTCCTCCATCGTCTTCACCGCTGTCTACGGACTCATCCTCACTTTGCCCCGCCATCATAACTTGCTGAACGGCCAGTGTAGCACCATCGGATGACAAGGACTGGAGACTGTCTACATTCATGTTTACCGGGGCTGTAATTGTTACAACAGCACCTGGAGAAGCACAATCACACAATTTTAGCTTCTTTCTTGGTTTCTCAGGCTAAGCAAGGCATATTTGTATGTAGTAGAGTTTATGATCAACAGGAAGAAAATCTAAGGAACTAAATTAAAATAAAAGCTAAATAACTTGTCAGATACTTCAACGTTAGGAAATGCCAGAATCACGTTGGTCTAGAATCTTTAATTCATCTGTGTTCTGGGTACTCATTAAAGAAATCTCCAATCAAGTAATCACAAGATCATTTCTGCAAAGTACTCCAACTTAACCCATTGCAGAAAAATTGGAGTGTTCATAGAGAAAACGTGACTTAAATTGATAAAGTTGTTGTCAAACCCAGCAGAAGCTGAGGAAAAAAAGTTGCTAAAACACTGCAACGAATAAAGCAGCATGCTGCAGGAATGTGAGGACTGTCCTGAGATTAAAACAGATTCAATTTAGGAAAGTGAAATATTATTGGATCTGATGCTACGGAAGTTACTGCAGTCAAATTTTTGGAGATTAGTCTATTTCTCTTTTTCACAGTGAGAAATTTGAAACACCTGAAGCTTATATAAAAGTGCAGATAGCAACGGGGAAAGGAATGTGAACAGATTCACAACGGATGGGGAGTTGTGAAGATGAAGGGACAGTCCAGTACTTCTAATTAAACAGAATGCAGCTGGTGTGTCTACACATAGTGAGAGAACTTATTTACACATCTACCCTTCCTCCTACTGTTTCATAATTTCTGAAATAAAAGCAAGTGTCTCACTGCATTTATTCCAATAAAATATCCCTCCCAAAAATAAACTGAAGATGAAAAAAATGACATTCTTGTTACGTTTTTCCAAATTAAGAAGAGTCATGCTGAAATATCAAGGAGTTTCTTCCACGAGATGTATCAAACTCTCCATTTCTGTTATAGAGGAATCAACTTCGCTTTCCGTGTTCTAACTAGTTCTCCTTACCATCTGACATAGTGAGCTCATTAGACTGCTGCTGAGCAACTCCTGATGCAATGGAGTCAGGCCAGAACCTCTGAACCGGTCTGTTCTGAGCTGTTTTCTTCTTTGTTTTTGGAGTTTCAGAACAACTGGAATCCAGCATTGGCTGAAGAATTCGTCTTCTAGCATTGATAAACCTAAACAAAATCAGTGGTAAGTACTCATGAGCTGAAGTTGGTTAATATTCTGTCTGTTGGATTCACAAAGTATGCAGTAGGAAAAAAACAAACAGAAGTATAAAAGCTGCAAAGCATCACTTCTCCCTTCCAGCTCAGTCTGACATTCTTTTTAGCATGTAAAACTAGAACTCCTAGAATACTGTCATCCTTCAATATTAGCAAACTAGCTAAGCAAGTACTCCTCTCATTTTGCTGCTAAGTGTTCCCCCCCAAAAAACCTTACTGACAAAAATTCTCCAGACAACATGACAAATGTACATTTCAAGACCTTATTATAAGCTGAGCACCAGAAAAGTTGTTGACAGTACCATTCAGAAAGCTGACACTCCTCTTATTAGGGCTCACCTAAATTTTATCCCTAACCTAGTTAGTTTGGTCTGATTTCATTTACTCCATTAAGCTCCTCCCTGCTTCAATTATTTGAAAGGCTCACAGGTCTTTCCAGGCCTGGTGCCTGATCCAGGAGACACTGCTAAGCACATTTTTCAGAAGGAAGTAGAGCGGTGCTGTCAGATTCACACAGCGTAATGCAGTGCCTTGTGGAAACATCAGCCAAATCTCAGTACCATACAGCTCTGTTACTTCCACACCATGAGAACAGTTATACTGATGCACTTGTGTAACCACTGTACTGCCATTATCTTGCGTATTTCCCCACTGAACCCTTGTGCAGTCCTGCAGCCAGCACCATTTTGAAATCACTACAGTGATTTTAGGAACACAATACCATGAGTAGAATAGGATGCATGCTGGCATCCTCATTCCTCTTCTGCAAGACCAGGCTTCTCACCTTAAGCCTGTAAACCCTTAAGTTTAAACTTAAGACATACTACATACTGAGCTGCAAACTACAGTGGCTGAGATACTGACACCTTCCATTTGGACACCGTTGTTTAGCAACTGTCATTTGGTAGAAAAGTGGAATGAAGATCTATTGACAGTAACAAACTGTAAAATATGCAGCCATAATCATATGGGGAACACTCTTCAGAGCCTCAGGTCACTGAATTCCTTGAATCTTGATTTATATTATATATATATTTAATATAATTATCTTGCAGAAGATATGCAAGTACTTCCATCTCTTCAAGCGATAGAAGAGAGTTTAATTCTTATGGCTGCAAAGACTTCTTTGCAGCCATAAGATAAAGATAAGATAAGATAAAGACTTCTTCTGAAGTCTTTATATAATTAAAGTGGCAGAAGGATACAAATAAGATACTTGTGTATCAGCATATAATTCTAGTCCTTAAACATGGAGCATGGAACAGTAAGCTCAACTCCACATATCCAAGCCATACTCTTAATTACTTCTCAATCTCACAAGCACGCAGAGACAAAAACAGAGAAGTTGGAAGAGTTTTCGGTCTTACCAATTGTTAACTTGGAGTAGTGTAAGATTTGTTTGTGCTGCAATCTGTTTCTTCTCATCCTCTGTTGGATATGGATGCTAAACAAGAGAAAAAAGCAAATAAAGACACAAGCTTCTGTTTCATCTCCTCATCAAAAATAAGGACTCCTTTATTACAAGTGATTAAAGATGCTAGACTAAGGTCATCTAACTCGTAATGAACAAATTCAAGAAACCTCACAAACTTTTATAGATAAAAATCATTTAACAAAAAGTGTGTTACTATGCGAAACTGGTCTTATCCTTGAAAATATGCACTGTATCATTGAACTGTTGATGTTTAATTCAGCAAGAGAGATTCTCATGGCTGACAATCTTTATTAAACAGCGTGATCTCTGGGCAATAAGCATGTGATAAGATCTGATTAGTTATGCTTTCTAAAGGCACTGTCATATGAGAGTACTGACAAGCCTTTTCTGGTTAAAATAAGCTACTCTGAACTAAATGGATGAAAAGAGTGGAAAAGTGCTAAAGAAGCGCACACGTGCTTTCCCAGCATCGTTTGTCTGTTTCAAAATAGCTGCTAATTGACTGAAAATACCAATATTAAACACCACAATATTCTTCAAGAATAAATATTTATGCAAAGGCAGGACTTGTAATGCAGGCAAGAGTAGGTAGCAACAAACTAGGTATGCATTGGAAGTGTTGTTGAAAAGGGGAAAAGACAGAAAGCTTGAAATTCCTCTAAAACAGAAACAAACAAAAAACCCCTCAAAAAAACTCACAGCTACAAATAGAAGTATTTCTTTGCGTGCCATAGAGCAGGGCCAAGAAAGCACTACATTCTCAACACAATGAAATGAAGAAGGATCCCTTTTAACAACATTAATTGAGCTCATGGGGTACAAATATAACATGATTATTAAAACAATGACATCAACAGATGGAACTGCTCCAGATGACTTCAGAAAAAACTGAGCTGGGATTACACAAACAGTAAGTTCACCTTCCCTATGAAACAAAATTATAAAAGACCACATAGAGTTGCATAAAAACCTTCGACTCCTGATCATGTTCAGTCCTTACCCCTATGTGCTGAAATAGCCAAGATCTCATCACGTTTGTAGCGTGCTTGGGAAGAACTCCTCTTTTATTTTTTGATGAGCCATCATCTTGATGCAAGATGCCTAGATCTTGGTTTAATTGCAACTGAAGCTGCGTGTATAATTTTAAAATAAGAAAGTTAGCATAGTAATAGCAGTATTTTGCATTAATATATGTTATTTGGAGAAGGAATGAAAAGAGATTAGGAACTCTGATTCTAAAAAGCTACTTTATTTGCTAGGGAAGGCTTACAACAGCAGCTCACCTACAATAGCATTCCAAAACATCTTTTTCAGGGAATACAAGACATGAGATTTCCAGATAATGCAAAAATTATAGAATGCTTCTGTTTTAAGAATTACAACTGTTTTCAGTGTGTATATGTGATCGTCACAAGAGCCAAATGATGATTTGCTGTAATTTAGAATAAAATCCCTCCATGTACTAAATGACAGGATTCTCTGTACTGATCCATGCAACGTTAGGGTTTCGACTGACTTTTCATCCTACCAACTCATTTGCACAAGTGAAGAGTGAAGAGCAACTGAAAAGCCCCATCCTGAAAAAACTCACTGTGTGCAAGCACAAGCAATTATGGAAGCTGTAAAGTAGTAAAGATTTAGGTCTTAAGCAAAGAACTTAAAATTATAAACATTAGAGTTGCAAACCATGGTATTTAAGGTCCTGCTAAATAAATTCATCTAAATTTTCAAGAAGTAGGAAGATATATGCAAAAGACTAGTAAGGGGAAAAAGTTCTGGCTACCATCAAATTCTGAATTCACTTTACAACACTGTTTTCCTAAAATTTCAGGTTTCTTTCACAGCTTTGCTTTCTTTTTCACTTCTAGAGCTACATCAAGTTGTTTGCACATTGGTTATCTGAACATGAGGGGATACGTTGTTAAGTGCTTAGGCAGAGATAATAAGAAACAGAATATAAATTGCATATGAGATTGCATTTCAGACAATTATAACTTATTCCCAATCAGGTTTTTCAAACAATAGGGAGCAGTTTCTTCAGGCCAGTCATTATGTCTACGTCTGGTATGAAACAAGATTTAAATATCATTTCTGAACTAAGTTCAAGTCATCAAATTACAACAAACATTTTTTGCATTCTTTTATTTGCAAAACAATGTTTCACTTTCTAAGTGATCTGTCTGCATATGGAGGCTTCATAATGAAATTTCAATAGTTATCCACCAGTTTTTCTTTTCTACATACAGAGCACTGTGAAACACTGAGCATTTCAAGAGGTATTTCCTATAATTGAGATACAGGAATACATACAATTTCACAGTGTTGGTGGTTGCCGTCTTAAGACGATAAATTTCTGACAGCAGCACAGCATTACACAGCAACATTCAAATCTATCCTGCCATAAACCCAGTTCAACAATTAGGAAAGCTATAATCCTTGTAAAATCACAAGGATGTAAAATCCTTGTAAAATGGTATTTAATTTAGAAAGCTTTTTATTTGGCTGGTTTTGTTTAATCCACATGTAAATACTTTTTTTTTTTTCTTTCTTTACTGATAACAGAAAAGGGGAAAAATACATACAATGTTTAACAAGTATGAAGTACGACGTCCGACGTCGCAAGGCAGATCTGCTTGGGACATCATGCCCTATTATAAAATCTGTAAATCCTATAGTGTATCACATTCAAACCCAAACTGCTGAAAACAAAGAGATTCATCAGAACCCAGGAAACTGTTTTGTGAAGCCCATGAAACACACCTGAGAATTCTGGATTCGAATAGTCCCAGGGGACAATGCTTGCGTCACCACTTGGCCTTGTGGAGTGACCACAGTAACAGGCTGATACACTGTCCCTCCTGAAAAAACAAAACATTTTGGTAAGTAGAAGCCCCTAAATATTCTCTTTAAACATAGAAACACATCATCACTGTAGACAGTACCACACTTCTGACAATATATCAATTATTTTAACATACCACAATCTATTCCAGCTGTCATCTAAGATGCATGATGCAAAAGCCATCAGCTGAGCAGCACCTAGATATATAGGTCAACTATGCGTTCAAATGCTACCTCCATACAAAATTAACACAACTACTTGGACCTGAAGGATTTCACAGACTCCTAGGGATAGTTCTAGACTGTACAGAGCATGAGATGGCTACTAAATGCAAAAATATCCCAATCTCTTAAGACTTAGCTAGTGTTGCACAGAAAGATCTGTTAATATTGTACTTAAAGTGTAACCTCCACTCACACATACCTGGTATACACAGAAATTAAATCGATATTCAGAAACCATAAAGGCACTCGTATTAAACCAACAACTTTTCAGTTGTTCTTAAAATCTAAACACGTGAAGAAATACTTGTGTATTTTCTGTAACAACTATAAAAGGACCCATAATAAACAGCAAGGTGCCAGTTTTTCTTTAGTTGTCATACCTGCTACTGTTGCCATAGTTACGTTTCCCTGCTGCAATGCTGATGCTGGCACCATAATCCCTTGGGGACTGAGCGTGCCTGCAATGGCACTTGGCATTTGCTAGAAAAATAAAACAATTAGTTGGCTGAACTTTTTTTTTTCCCCAAGGAGATAAAGCAGCTTGTGTCATTTTAGCTCTAAAAATACATTTGGAGCTTAAACACAGGATTAGCTTCAAAGGGAGAGACTTCATTAGAAGTTCATCATTTACCTACATTAACTTTCTCATTATCACCCATCATTATCTTTGAAAATCTTCATGAATGCAACTGTTAGAAAAGATATTAAACTATATGCAGTAATTATAGGAGAGAAATGATTCTAGTTATATAAATACTAAGAAAAAAAGTTTCCAAAGGCACAAGGGATAAAGGACATACAAAATGGATCCTTGATGCTCTTATTACAAGCATCAAAGCTTCAGAATTTTAGTTATTATCTTAATTCCTTCCCATTTCAAAATAATTTATTAGATATCTTGGATGCATAATACATTTGTTCTGCTTAGGATAATTCTTATACAGTCTTGACCTTGCAAATGCTAATTCATACATCTTCAGGAATTTATAATTTCTGCTGTTACCAAACATAAAATTCAGTCCCTCCTGTGTCAACAGAAGTAAGGCTCTAAGAGCCATACAAAAATAATCCTTAGAAGGCTTTTTTTTTTCCTATTTGATTTCAGATTCGCCTTTCCACACTTCCACATAAAGCCTAAGTAAGACAGTAAACTTTAAGAATCATTGGGGCCTTTTAAAAACAGATAGCATCAGACACATTCATAAACCTGAGAAGGGCCATCCCCTACAACACAGATTTAATTGTATTTGAAACACACCTGAGATTGCACGGGTGAATAAGGACTTCCAGGCTCTCCACTTAATAGAGTTTCACTGTTCATTTTTGTCTTCAGGCAGGCAATGTAGCGACTACAGAAGTCCTTGCAAAGCTCATTAACCTTTTCTAGCTCAAGCAGATGAATACGAAGAACTTGGATTGCTTTTACCATCTAGGGAGTGAAGGGGGGGAGGAAAAAAATTGAAAGTAACTGTTAATTTAAAAAATATTTCACTGTGAAATTTAAACAAACACTACTTTCCAGGAAGAAAGACCGTCCAATTAATACAGAGCGACTAACTGCTGAATGCTGAACTAGACTTGTCAAGCTCTGATCATTATGCTCCTGAAATGGCAAAGGAATGTGTTTACATACAAATCTGTATCATCACTCTGCTAAAGTAAACTGTGATGTAGAGGAGAAAGAAAACACGACTACAATATAATCTTCGCATCTGTCGCATGTCAGATCAGACCTCCTAACCAGCCTCTGCCTTCCTAGAAGTCTGTCATCTTGCTCAGCAAAGCTTGAAGCAACAAAACAGTTTTACTGTCGGACAATTTTGAAGTACCTGTGCATTTCTATGTCAAATACAAACAACTCTGGGGAAGAATCTCCTGAGTGAACTGACTGTTATTGAAATGAGAATGAGAGAGCACTGAAACCAACTGACAAATCCATGCTGATACAAAAATTAAAGAAGGGCAGTAGGTATGTATGCTGAGAATACTCATGCTTACTGCAAGAAAAAGATTCCTAAGTTTGGGTAGTTAGCAGTATTTCATACAGCATAAAAACAGCATAGGTGATGGCAAGGGTCATGGCAGGAGATCAGAAGCCAAAATCAAATCCAGATGGTCTAAATGTTGATGATGCAGTAGGAAATCCTGGACATTCAATCACGCAGAAAATTTATTGGCAAAAAAACTTTTTTTTTTTTTTTTTTTAATATAGTGTGCCACCCCCAACATTTACTTGCTGTGTTAGAGCTCAAAGAAAAATATCCTCCCATTTTATGAATTTAAATAGATCGCAGCCTCGAAACATAATGCAAAGCTTAATTTTAACATTATTTGGAAAAACATGTCATACATAAACAGTCACAGATCCAGCTACAGCAGTGAAGGCAATAACCAGAAACAATAGAAGAAACAATAGCCCAAGTTGTCCTCTTATTTTTAAGTGAAGAAGCTAGCCAGGAGCTGAAGCAGCTTTTACTCAAAGCAACTGGAGGAGATCAAGGCAGGCACTTATGGGTACACCTCCTTCTCCCTCACAATGACTTCAGCTTTCATTATGACAGACATTTTTCCTGTGTTTATTTATTTTTTTAAAAGTAGAAGATATTCCTGTTGTTTGACATTCACCCAACTGAGAAAATGGTATGTTAAAATAAACATGGGAACACTGAAACAATAACAAAGAAGGAAATCTTATCCCCTACTAAGGGCTATAAATAATAATAATAAAAAAAAAGAAATGCAACTTTAAAGCACAGCTGCAGAAAAAAAAAGTCTGAGCTGTAGACTTGAAACAATTAATTCAAATTAAAATCTGGTAACTCTGACGACCTTTGACACCAAAACCCTTTGAAATCCAAAATGCAGTGGCCCAGCACTGAGGTATACAAAACAGCATCTTCTAGAGCAGCCCTCAATGGCGGTGGCCTTTGAAACTGCATTTAAGTACCTTTAAACATAATCAAGTTGAACGATGCAAATTTAACTAGATTTTAACACAAAACAGAGGTCATCTTTGCTTAAATATAGTCTGCTCCCTTTAGAATTGCTAATGATTGCCCTGTAGTGCTTCAATAACCAAATAGTTTCAGAGACCAAAAGCCTGAATTATAAAATTGCTTACACATTGTGGAACAGCACAGATCACGTATATTAGCCGCACACAGATTTTGTTTTTAACCTCTCCCATCCTCCTTCTGCTAGGCTGAAACCAAAGTAACAAAAATGACTTTGGGCACATCATATTTGAGCGCATTCATGATTGAATTACTTTTGCTTTGTAAGAAGCTTTTGTTATTTGTTTTTTTCTTAAACCATCACCCAAATTTATATTATTTATGTATCAGCATTTGCTTGCAGGAAAACAAAACAAAATCAACGAAAATTAGAGCTAATTCAAGCTAATGGTTGGTATCTAACGTGAAAATTATACTAGTATCAAAACTAAGCATGAACCAAGGATTAAGTAACAACAGCCAGATTTCTATAGATCCACCTACAGTCAATGCTACTTTTACAGGAAGCTGTGCTATTGTGGTTAGAAAGGCAAACAGAATTTGTAAATATACCATGTGTGTCACAGCAACTGTGGCATGGGTGGACCAAGTGAAATTTGCTGACTGAAGCTCCTATGATCCTTCAAACTAAAACAAAAATTGCAATAGCAAGATGTTATTCAACCCCCCTCTTTTTTTATTTTATTTTTTAGAATCATAGCTTGAAAGTCTACAAAAAAAAACGTTTTTGTTATTTAGTCTGCCATACAACTACACAATTTTATAAACCACATGATCCAGTCTTTTCAGCTATAAGAAATAAACCTGGAGCATCATTTCAGAGACATGTAGAAAGACGTAAGGAACCATTAGACATATGGATATGGTTGATATTATTGTACATAAAAAAGTAAACTATGTTCACACATAAACATACTCCATCTGGAGATGCCTTTAGCCCTAAGATGCTTTGAATCATGCCTTTGTCCTATCTTTTCAGTGCCTTGAGTGTAGGGCACAAAGGAGAACAGAATACACTACGCAGCATGTTAACCATAATCCCCAGCTCACCTTTGTTCAGTTAAAATGCACACTCGTGACATTTTATGGACTTCAAGGGACATAGCACAGGCACGTAGAAAAAAATCTAAGTGGACAACTCATCTTAAAAATTCTGGTATAATGATGATAAGTAATCTTCTCATTTCAAAAGCAACTTAAATACATCCATTCATTGTTCATCTACCTCCCCGAGCAAATTCCCACATGGGGCCTTAGGTCTTCAGGGGAGGAACACAAAGCCTGACAGAAGGGACATTCAGTCTTCACTTCTTTTATTTTGATAATCTCTCTTGCCTACTGAATCCACAGCTGTGAGATCAAAGGTCTGAGAAAAGTTGCAGATGTAGGAACACTTTTTAGAAATTCAAAAATGTGGTTTGAGCACACAGAGAAAAAGTATAGAGAATATCAAAATGACATCTCCTGGCTTCATCATTACTACAGGTTTTCCTGACAGAACTAAGAATTCAACAGGATAGTCTTTCAGAAGAGGCTACTGAACCAAAAATCCTTACCCCACACGAAACAAAAACTCAAGGGTCTTCAAAAAGGGCAGTGTCCTGTTCAAATACAAAAGTGAGAGCATATTTAAGACACTGTATTTCATATTGTTTCTAGGCTTGATATAGCTTTATTTAACCTGCTCTGACCTCACAGCTGCACCTACTTCGTGCAGGAGGTTGCACTACTGACCTCCTGAGTTCTTGAGACCAAATCAAGTGATCAAACATGAATCACCCTATGGCCCTATGAATGTGGGGAAATGAAAAAAATAAACGACAAAATGAACAAAATACTCATATATGGCAAGAGTTAACTCCTAACAGAAGCTACACAAGAGATAGGAACCCTCCAGAAGCAACTTGATGTTTGTCCTGGCTGGATTAACAGTAAGCAACAAAAAAAGCATTAAATTCTAAACATCTTAAAGCGTGATTTAGAAAACTCTAGAAATGATTCGTAAACATTCATGCTGAACAACCCACCCATGTAAGTTACAAGAACGAAAGAAGGCTAAAGGAAAACAAAGGGAAGATGGATGGCTCATTGTTCTGTTAGCAACTCCAAGCCTTGTTTCAGCTGTGAAAATTGGACGGAGATATGAAAGTGCAAGGAGTTTCAAAGATGATACTCAATATTATGAGCAGTGTTGAACACACTTTCAGAAAGGAGAAGGTACATTCAGGAACATCTGGCTAGTAATACAGACCAATAAAATCTGTGGTTCTTAAGAGTAAACATCTCTTCAGGTGCTGAGTCTGACTGAGGTGTACATAAAATAATGATCCAAAGATAAGGAGGGAGTCAAAGCTCTCAGAAAGAAAGCAGGCTCCAAACTAGCAAGTTAAACATAAGAACTCTCTTCTACTTCCTTCCCACCATGAATAGTATGGGAAAAGTGGAGGTCTGATATACTTCTTGCACCTGATAGGCACTTAAATCAAGTTTCAGATTTTCAGAATTCAGAAAGGACTGCTAAAGAAACAGACAGAATGAATGACCAAGAATCAGAAAGAACTACTGAAAACCTGCAGATTGATGTAGAACATAATTCAAAACAGAGCACAATTCTGGCTTCAACAACATGCTGCATCACACACATATATAGAGAAGAAATATCTAGTGCACAGAAGCATAGCCTCATACTTCTCTCCCCTACCTCCATAAATAGTTTAACCTGTGTAGAGCTAATAAAAACTGAACCCCTCCAACTTCAAGTTCTCCTTGAGGACAAGGGTTCTAAGAGGGCTTTTACACAAATGACCAAAGAGTCACTTCCCTTTTGTTTTCAATAGAGATGGGAAACTCTCTCCCAGAAGATTTTCCATCCAAAGACAACTACCTCTTCTGACTGGAAGATAAAGCCATGTTAAAAGTAAAGACAATGTCAAGACATCCTACATCTGAGGACAAGCTGAAAAAACCCGTCCAGAAGCTGACTAAAGCTTACTGAGTTTCTTTCAACAGATCTTAGAACTAAACTTTGCATTCTTCAGTGATACACTCTTCCTCAGAATAAAGAAAGGCATTTCATACACCTCTCAGACAAAGAAAGAGACAACTGACACTTCATAATTCAGGGAAGACATAGTACAGCTTGAGGGTTTATTTTGTAGTGATGTGGCTTTTGGACACACACTGTTGTTGACTCCATTACATGATGCACATACAGAAAAAGATTAGGAACACTGCAATAGCTATACAAACTCAAACTCAAGTATGCTTAATCCAGGTCCTTTCACAAAGTACCTCAAAAATTCATTTACTGAAAAAACATTACATGAGAAAGTGCCATTCCCTCACTCTTTCCAAATTCTTTTCCAGGAAATTTGTACTTCTAAATACGCTCAGGCCAAAAGTCAAAATTTGACCTAATCCAGAAGCCATCAATATTAATGGAAATGCTCCCATTTATTTCAGTGCCAGAAATCCTTTCTGACGACGCATCTGATAAAGTCTTTAATGGGCAAGACACTACAAAAATAAAAGGCCTAGTGTTTCTAGACCTTTTACTATTTTTTGTTGATCATAACCCTTTGCCATGCAGTTTTAAGATTACCAACTGAAGCTGTTTGTGTGATTAATCAGAACGAATAGAATAGTTCAACCAGACCTTCAAAGATAATCTAGTTGCCTGATCTCTTCAGGACTAACCAGAAGTTAGAGCTTAGTAATGAAGATTAAAGAATGGAATCTCTTCCCTTAAATAATCAAAAAGGGTAGAAACTTGGTTGAGAAGCCAGACTTAGCAATATACTGGCCAGGAACATCCTTAAAATGAAAAGTGTTAAGGCTGGCAGAAACACTGAAATTAGTTTCTGCCATTTTGGAATCATAGACTTAAAGCTCTGTCACAAAGCCTACATGTAGCAGTTGGGTTGGGGGAAAAAAAAAACCAAAAAAAAGGAAAAGAAATGAATCAGCTGAGTAAGTGACTCATTTCCTTACCTGAGGCAGGCCTGCAACTCTTGTTCTGATAAGACCTCAGTGAGTCTTTATAGCACTGTAATGCTCAATTCATCTCAGTTTAGTTCTGGCTCCAAGCTGAATGATTGCTACTAAGCAAACAGATACATCTTACTTATTTGACTCTGCTGCAGTGAGATAAGAACACACTTGGACGACCAGTAATTACTTGGCCTACTTGCTTCACCCTTCAGTCTCTGCTAGATTGTCCTCTCAAGCAAATGGTTTATTTATCGTTAGAGTTAAGAAGGGAAGTACAGCAAAAAGGTCTCACAAAGATGCCCCATATTAGAGCCCCTCTCTACTACAATGTAATTTTTAATCTATACAAAAATGGCTTTTAATCCATGTAAAAACATACATATTTATGTGACACAATGGAGAAAAATCTGCCATTAAATCCAGTTACAGTCTTCTCTATCCAACCATCAGTATTTCAAGCAGAAGAAGAGTTTGAAGAACACACTAGATATTTCAAAACTTGACAGAAACTCTTCTGTCCTCTACTCATTGCCCTTGAGCCGCCTGTCAGAACATCAGCTAACACAGAGACCCTGGCCCTCTGCAGAGGAAAAGTCACACTCAGCTTACATTTGGTATCTAGTAACAGAAAGTCATCACCAACAACGTGACTATACATCAGGAATTCAATGCCAAAGATAAGCTGATTTTGCAACGTGGTTCCAGTTTCAGACAGCATTGATCTCAGTGGCCATGGGACACGAGACATAAACAAGTACTTCCTCACCCATTTCAAGCAAAGTCAACCAGATTTACGAAGCCCATCAGTAATAGTAAATACCACATAAGAGACTTTGTCACCACTGAAGTCACGAACAGGTCAGTCAGGAGGTAGTACTATTTGAACAGAGCAGACCCATCTACACCAGTGTGAGCACGATCTGAAGAGAACACTTATCTACGACAAAGCATATGAAGCAGGCTAAGACATGCAGGATATTTGGGAAAATGACCTTTGAAGGCTCACAGAATCACAAAGTAGTTGAGGTTGGAAGACATCTCTGGCAATTCTTTCATCCAGCTCCCCTGTGAAGCAACTACAGCAGGTCGCCCAGGGTCCTACATAGTTAGGTTTTGACTGCCTCCAAGGATGGCTATTCTACATCCTCTCTGGGCAACCTGCTCCAATATTCAGTCTCCCTTATAGCAGAAGCATTTTTGTTTTTTCCTCAGGCTTTAATGTAATCTACTGTGGTTTGATTCGTATCTACTTCCTCTTGCTCTTTCATTGGGCACAACTGGAAAAAAAAAAAAAACGACTTTTTTTTTTTTTGTCTCCTACAACTCTTTCCCAAGTCTTCTCTGTTCCGTGCTAGCCAGTCTCAGCTTTCAGCACCTCTTCAAGATGCATTCAAGTCCATTAGTTATCTTCACGGTCTCTTGCTAGATTCACTCCATTACCCTGTGTCTAATAGTGAGAAGCTCAGAATTGTATTTAGCACTCCAGATGCACAAAGCTCACAGAGGGAAAGAATCACCTCCCTTGACTTGCTGGCAACATTTTTCACAATACAGCCCAGCTACATTGAAATTTTTGCTGCAGTGATTCATTGCTGGCTCATATTCAATCTGGTGTCCATCAGGGCACTCAGGTCCTTTTTCTGCAAAGCTTTCCAACTGGTCAACCTGTAGCATGAATGTGTACATGGAGTTATTTCTCCCCAGATTTGGCATTTCCTTTTGCAGAGCTCTCCTTCAGACTCTTTGCTGCCCTATTTTTTTCAAACTATCAGAGTCCCTGCGAAAGGTGGCACAGCTCCCTTTCACCAGTCACTTCTAATTTCATACAAGCTTCCAGCTTGCTGAGGGTACACTCTATCCCACTCTCCAAGTGATTAACAAAGATGTTAAATGATGTTGGCCGTGGTATCAGTCCCTGGAGTACACCACTCACGACTGGCCTTCAAATGGATTTCATGTTGCTGGTTGCAATTCTTTGAATCTAGCAGTTCAGCAAGTTTTCAGTTCATCTCATTATCCATTTATTTAGTCCTTATTTAATCATTTTGTCATTTTCAGCTTGCATTTAGTCCTCTCCAGAAAGCAACGGCCCATTTGAAGCAATTCATTATTTTTCTTTTAATTCGCATGAATGCTTTCCTGTTGAAGAATGATCTGAAAAATAGTAGCAGCAGCCAGTGCCTGCCCATAGCTGCCTGCCAAAGCTTCCTGCACCCTAGCGGAAGAGTAATACTCTTCACAGACAGGCTGTGTCATTATAATAGTTCTGAAGCATTTATATTCTACTTACATTTATAAAATAATCATCGTTCTACAAGTATTTCATAAATATAATGTTACACCACTGACATTTCAAGTTAAAAAAATATCAAAACAATAAAAAGCTATACCACTGTTTCTTACACTAGGAAAGTAACTAAAGAAAAGAATTATCATTTATTTCCTTTTGCTGTAACGTTTCTTCTTTTTTTATTCTATTTTTAATTCCTGCAGTGGCAACAATCATTTTGCAATAGGGTTTAATCCATGGAATTGTGTTTCTATGCATCTGTTAATAATTGTATCTTCATAGATTACTAAATCACTGTCTCTATCAGTAAATATTTCTCAAGTGAGCTGCATCAAAATTTGCCCACAAAGATCTAATCATTAAGATACAAAACTGAAATGTTGGGGCTTTCAGTTCTGTTATAGCTATAAACTTTGGTTAAAGGGGCCAATGTCTAGTCTTCATTTATAAACTGAAAACCTTTATACTAACACTGAGAGTATTGTTTTGTATCATATTATGCATTCTCCTTCAGCTACTTTCCCACCCAAAAGGCATATTTGAACCTCAGAGTGTTTCCAAACTGAAAACAAAAGTCTCTGTATAATCAACAGTTCCGGAACACAAGTGGTAAGAGAGCCTTGTAGAAGCATCCTTGAAGATGGACTAGTGCAGTGTGAGTTGTGTTAGCTTTATCCATCCTGGAAGATGATTTAAACTACGAAACTTTAAATTTACAGATTGAAATCATTAACATGATACGTTAGTGTATCTACATCCCAGCACTGTAACTTACAGTGAAAAGTATATAACAAGTAGCTGAAAACATAACTTTCTACGCCTCTTTATCCAGAGTTGTAAAAACCTGCCTCACTGTAAATATACTATCTTCTGCTTGCTTTCCTTTCGCATTGTTCAAATCATACATAGAGACTCCTGCAATTCCACCTTCCATGATGGTATTTAAACATTATTTCCCAGAACTGCAGTACAATGATAATCAAGTTATGAAACCTTCCAACCTTCTAACATGCTGTTTACTGTAGCCCTTCTGACAATTCTAAAGAGCATCTCAGATTTATTCTCAACTAAGTTACGGTTTTGATTCTAAGATTCCTCCAGGTACATTGTGTCTTGGTCTCCCACACGCACTCTTAAAGGCACACATAAATCTTTCTATATAAGAGCTATAAAACACATACCTTTTCTGAATGTTGTTTACAACCACTGTCAGTTTAGCTTTGTGAAATTTAATTGTTTATGTAGCTTTTTCTCCTATGAGGTAGACTCAAAAAGACTTGTTTTACTGCAGTCTGCTTAAAGGAACTAGTCTTCCAAAACTAAAAGTCCTGCAGATTAACACATGACCCTTGTAAATCTAGTGCTCTCAAACATGATAACATGAGTTGTGAATTGACTCCAAAGACAAGAAGGTTGATAGTTTAAGTACAAGCACAGCAAGAGAGCTTTTCGCTAGGGAACGTGATTCAAAAGAGACAAAGGGAGCACAGAAATCACAGCTTCATCACTTCCTGAAAAATCTTCAAACTGAAGATTTACGTTCTGATGGACTTTCAGAAAACATGAAGACGACATCGGCATGTAAGAAGAAAGTCAGTATGTTACATTCTCTAAGCTCATTTTATAACATCTCTTCCATTAACTACACGAATCCTGATAAAAAAAAAAAAAAGTTGAGAAAAAAAAAAACAAAAACACACTGATGTCTTTTTTTCCTAAACACGGGTTACATGCTTGGCACCTTAACATTAATTTGCAGAGTGAGCCCGGCTAAGGCAAGCTCATATTTCTGGTCATCCCCAACACATCGATCTCAGACAGTCCAGAAACCCATTTGAGAAGCAACTATGAAGGAATTGATAAAAGTTTACAGATAAGGATGGAAAAAAAGAGGGGATTGGAAAAAAATAATTTCAAAAGCTATTTCTCAGGATTAACATAAAAACGAATCCCTTGTACGAAGAAACATCTGAGGAGAAACTACAAGCACCACTTGAGATAGGAAACAATAATGGGGCAAATATGATGTTTGTTTCAGACATGAAAGAAACAGCTTATACTTACCAGATTATCAGTTTCTGGATCTTCACAGAAGAAGGGTTTTCCTTCTTTTTCCTGCTTCCTTACAAAATTTTCAATATCTACATCAAAACTTGCAGAAGTCGTGCCTTCCGATCCTTGTGTAGATTGTTCACATTTTTCAAATAACAGTGCTAACAATGGAAATAATGGGTGTCTAGAATAGAAGTTAAAATAAATATTGTCACTTCTAGTTATGATACTGAAAAGTCAGGTATCTAGCTCACACAGGGTAACAATTACTCCTAAGAAACGCAAGGACAAGTCTTAAATGAGACTGCACATAGCACCACTGGCTATAGCAGAACATGATGAAAGTTTGTTTTTCCTTTTTCCATTACCACACAACCTACGGGTGAGAAAAGCAATAAGATAAATATATCTAAATAAACAGAATAATCACAAAACAAAGAGCTATGAAATGCTATGTAATTTACTGTAAACGAGTGGCAACAAATATGTTAAAAACAGCACGTTAGAAATAGTGATTTAGACTTATAAATAGGATGAATACATACTTAAATGTGTTTTTCTGTTAAGTCTAAAATCATTTATTTTAGACAAAAGCCATTTGTTCTTCAATGTGGGCTTTGCTTATTCATCACAAATAAATGTACAGAACTGGTGATAGTATAGAGACTGTACTTGGAGGCCTCCAGTAAAAGTGGTTAGGATGGCTCAGAGCTGAAGCAGGTTTTGTCAGCACAAGACTGAAAATGAGTGGATATGTCTTCCTATTTTTTTTTTTTTTAATTAACTGTGAACTGGCAATAGTTATGCATTTATAAAGCACTCAAAATGAAAGAAAAATGAAAGAACACTTAACCTCATAAAAAGAGAACAATACTAATCAGCGCAACACTTAACACTGGGAAAAAATCTCAAATTACTGTGTTTATACATCAACATTCAATCCAGTTAGAGCCAATCACTAGGCAGTAGATTGCTATCCCTAAAGAAAAGCAAGTAAAAACTAACCTAATTACAATTTTAAAAAATACCTCACATTGAAGATAAAAACTACTGTATAATCTACAGTGAGCACAGCTCAACCGCCTGAACAGTACGCTAAATCGCTCTTTAAAAGCAGCCAAGTTTAGAACTTCCTTTAAACTATGCTGGATTAGAATGAATCCATAATAAAAGGAAGGTTGTTGGTTTTTCTTTTTTTAATTAAATATATTTTGGCTAAAAATCAACAGTGAATTTAAATTGATCTCCTCCTTTTCCTGAATGCTACTAAAACATATAGCCAAGAAACAAACTGTTTCTAAGCTGCCTTCTACTAGTATATATTTTTAAAAAAATAATTAATTAAATTCCTGTTCTTTACCCTTCAAAAGACAGAGCACAAGTCCATTACTACCTGTAAATGGCCTGCTTGTCTGCATCCATTGGAGTTTGAGATTCTACAGGGGCAGGACTCACCCCTTCTGCATCAGTTTCAGAGCAGTTTGGATCTTGTTCAGTTTTTAACTCTGTTACTACTTGCATCTGTAGAAAAAGGATAAATTATTAGTAAATCTGCTTGCTTGACGTAAAACAAGCATACTGTTTTCTAAGGAAATAGCAATGTAGAGGGCTACTAAATTGCCAGAAGGTTGGCATGACTTGGCAATTGCACAAGAAGCCACAGTAGGAACAAAAAACCTCTTTTAATCCTTGAGACTTTTTGATGAGTAGTGTAAAGGTCACTTTAAGTTTCAGCTCTCAGCTTTAAAAATGGGAATGACAGATATCAGTAAATAGTTAAAGCATTTCATCTCTGAAGTGATTTTTTTTTTGAGTAGGCTAGAATACATTGCTCCAAATATTTTATGAGAATGTCTGCATAAAAAGCATTTAGATGAAGACAACAGAAAGGAAAAGTTTCTATTCAGCATTTCTTCTTGCTCTTTACTGTACATTATAACAAGACACTGCAGAAAAGAGATCCTGAAGTTTTTCTCGCTCATTAAAAGGCACATTTTCTTAAACAGAACTAAAATATTCTGTGTCCTACCAACGTCTCATTTACCAGGAGCATGATTTCCTCTGACCTCTACCACTCAAATTTACATACCAGTTATTTTAAGGATATCAAGCTCCTGGAGAAAACAGATGTAAGTGCTTCTAGGTATCTATTTAACAAAAACACGTAAGCAAATGTTGAAGGAAGAGAAAAAGAATAATAAGCAAAAACTACTTTTGAATAGCAGTTAAGACACATCCGTCAGTTTATCTAAATGCAATTCACCTATTAATACAAAAAAAACATTGACACTTCATATAGAAGTTAGCAGTCAGAACTGATAGATCTGCATGAGAGTTTAAAAGAACCAACCTAAATTGGTGGCTTGCAAGTAGATAGAGCAAGGAGGAACTGCAGCAATAATAAAGCAGGGGAAGAAAAAAAAAAAAAAGATAGCAGTAATTCCCCTGAAAAGAAGCTTGAAAAAATATTTGACGTGTTACTGAAAAAGAACACTAAGACCTACAAATCTACCTAAATGACTAAACAACTCCACAGCCACCCTGGCAGTGTGAAATACCTCCTCACGTTACCACAATTGATCCCACCTGGGGTCAACAACTGCTACCTCCCACACTGCTGTTCTATTAGCTGCAGCTGAACACTTGTCTTCTAAATGACAGCTTTTCTGCTTCCCTATGGCTTTTTCCTGCCCATTGCCCTCACCTTAGTATCCACACATTCAACTGTTTGCTTATACTGCATGGATTGCTCCACCAGCTCTATTTCAGAGCACAGTAACACAATCTGCCACCAGTGAAAAAACAACATACAGCCATTGCTTCTACCCAGGCCTGCATTGCGCTGGCTGGCTGGCAATGCCTTGGAGGCCTTGCCTACATGATCATGGTGTTACTGGTGCTGGAAATGGTCTTCCCCAACACCCCCTTCTAAGCACCCTTCAGGCTAAATTAAGTGTCTTAAAGGGAGTCACAGTCACCCCTCCACTACACTCCAAACTCTGTCTCTCTCCTCTCCCAGCACCGGCAACTTCCATAAAAGACAAGGAGTCACTGCAGCCTTTTTTGCTTTAACCCTAAGAAATTTTGTCTGGATTAGAAGACAGATGCTACTCTGGGTATCCCCGCATATTCAGAACTGACATCTCCAGGTATGAACAGAGTGCAATCCTCTTCCCTGAGAGGGTTCCAGTGAAACTTTATCTGCACATGACAGAAGCAAAAGGCATTTACACTACCTCCAGCAAGGGTCTGAAAGAACAGAAGGGTTTATGCTTTATTACCTGTTAGGGCCACCCACCTTCAAGAAAAATAGGAAACTGAGAAAGCAACAGAGTATCCTGCCCAAGACAGCATCCTGCCTTGTGAAAAGCTTCCTCAGCATGCACAGGTGATCTTAGAGCCAGAATGCTTGCAAAAAAATGATGCAATTAATGAACTCATTTCTTGGCTAATGACAAGGGGAAGGAGCAAAACGGAAGGGGGTGACTCATATAAGTGATTATAAGTGTTGAACCACCACATATTTGCAGAGTTTGAAGTTGGAGATTATGCTCAGCGAGAACTGAGAACTGAGAACTATTTTCTGTGGGTCATTTCAATGCTACAAAAGAAGTAGGCATCAAAATTACCTGCTTATATGGTCACTGACAGCTTAAATCAAAAGAAAACAAACAATCTGTTCTTTACAAAAATACGTATTACTTTTACCTAAATGTCACAGGGTGGCATGTATTTGCTGAGGGAATAGTGTGAAAGGGGTAAGGCAGGCGAGAGGAAAGAGAAATTAGAACTGCAATAAAAGAAGCACACAACAACAAAAACAATAACACAAGACCGCATTCAGATAAACATTTTTATCTTTTATAAAATGGAGAAAGTTGCCATTTTTTTCTTCTGTTCATCACTGTTGCCATCTGCTGACAGAAGTACTTGTATTCACTGCTTATGGCTGACACACAGTAACATAAAGATGGGTCATCAGGTTACAGGCCAATGGCATGACTAGTTCCCAGCTAACAGTATTTTAGTTTAGAAATTCAAATTGTTGCAATACATTGATTGTTGTACAAAAAGAAACATTATGACTAAACATAACCCACCATGCTTCATTTACCTCACCTGCCTCTTTATAGAAATAAGAAACTGGAGTATCGTTGATCAGCTTTCAAACCATCCATTCTTATCAATAACCTCCTTACCAGTCTCCAGCATAATTGCTTCAATTCAAACTAGTGTATAATTCTAGATAACCAAATTTAATTCCTTGAAACCAAGTTGTTTATAACTGCCTGAATGTCACCTGGCTACTGTAATTGCAGACATGAAAGAACACCAAAGAATCATGAACACAAAATATTAAGGATACCCAATTCGCCTTTCCTAAAAGCAAGAACATGAAGCACACAAATCACTTAGAGCAGAATCAGAATAAAATCTCTTATCTAACCATTCTGCCAGAAATGAAGCAAAGCCACACAAAGATTAACTAAGTCTTTATCAAATGTTTAAAAGTATTACAGAATATTAGCTCCTCACTTCAAATACTTCATTTTACGAACAAAAATAGTAATGCCAACACAGGCATTGAAGTCACAACTTCTTTCTCTTGCCAACTGTATCAGTTCATAAAGAAAAACGATCTTACCGGTTGTCCATCTTGATAGTTGTCTATACTTAATGTCTGTGTTGCCATCATGGTTAAGAAAATGTTAATTGCATCAAATCATCATCAGTACAAACAAATACTCTAAAAAAGAAGAAAAAAATAGTGTTACAGAAGTGCCCGTTTAAAAATCAATTGCAAAAGATGAAAATGGATGGAGCTGTAATACTGAAACAATCAGCAAGCTTATCGACAATAAAAGCTATGTGCATTTTCTCAACAAAATTCCATGTGGAAAACCACAAACTTCAGCATGAAACATGGAAGCATTTTGTATTTTAACATCACATTGTCAATAAGATGGATGTAACAGGATTTCATCCATGAACTTCAGGTAAAAACTAGCATTTATTTCTGCAGTACTTAACTAATTCTAAGGTTATGCATAAAATGTTGAAAAGAACAAAGATTTGCTTCTTTGTTCTCAAAAGACCAACGACACATTGAACTTTCCTGTAACCAAAACCACAAAGAGACTACAACTGATGGATCAAATGTAGAAAGTGTTAAGCAACAGCAATTTACTTACGAGCATGAATCTTATATTCTAAAATTAGAGCCTGAAATTTCTATTAGAAACCTATATCTGAAAGCACTTCTGAAGTAAGGAATCCCCTACTGAAGTTAAGCAAGGCCCAGCAAAGATTAGAGCAAATTCTAACTATTTTTAAACAACTGGGCCTATGAAATGACATATTTTCAAAAGGGACTTCAGAATTCAGAAGTATCATTTTCTCTGTCATTCAATACTTTGGGAAACATTCATTTCCATGTGATTTATGACACAAATCAACTCATGTCTGGCATTCTCTTCAAGCATTACTTGGAGTCTGCTGCGCAGAGGAGTTCAAACATTAAAAAAAGACAATATTTAGTATATCATCAACACCAGACAGAGTTATCCGTCAAACTATTACTTTTACTTTTCACTTCCTTGTCAAATTAGCAGGCACTACAATAAAAATCACAAAATCCAAGAAGGCATTAACACTAAATGTCACCATGGAACTCCATTTTCCTTGACCTGTAGGAGTCCTAATGGTTAGCCAGCATAAAAATATTGATATTAGAGAGGAAAAAAACAAAAACAGAGCTTATGTCTTGAAGAAGATTACATACAGGTACTCCTTCCAGTTTTTGTGCTCTCTTCTTCTAATCTCAGTATTGAAGAATGAGATATAAGAATTTTCACCATCTTAAGATCTGAAATGAAAACTCTTTTCTTTGTAATAGGTCCAATGACTACAAATTTTTCAACTGTTTTCAAATCTTTCCTTCACCTTGGCACAGTACTAAAATACACAACCATTTTTAAGAGTAGTTTCTACAGTTTCAGATATTTTTCCCTGTAGATCACAACAGTCACAAGTACAGTCACAAGGGTTTAATTTAGAAACACAGGGCAAGTTTGGGAATTCCCTTCCTCATTTACTTCACAGTTTCAGGCATAGAGATGGATCGTAACTCCTCAGGACAAACCTCCATCCTTACTTTGCACCAAGTACTACTCAACCAAGTTCTACTCAAAGTGGAATTTATTTGATTATTTACTCATTAAAAACCAGCTCTGAAGACCAGAGGAGCTTATCACAATCCAGTAGGCACGACTCCCTGTCCAAACTTGGATATAAATTCACTCACTATGGCTCAAGTCCCACAGCTGCCCTGTGGCGGCCCGTGCCACCTGAGGTACTCCTGGCTCTGGGTCACGGTGTAGCTGCATACGTTTCCATCTGCAGACAGCACGTGCACACCATCCTCAGCAGCTTGTGGAATGGGAAGAGACATGCTACAACTGTGCTACAGTTATTCTTAAGAATAAAGATGACAGAAAAGAAGAGTAAAGACTGATTTTATTGTTCTGGTAGTTGTAATGCAAGTGTTTGCTGGTTTGGTGGCAGCAAGCATCTGGTAGGAGCGAGATTCTCTGAAGAGTTTTGGTTCACACAGCAAAGTTGTACAACTACGAGCCAGAAACCTCTCACAGCAACATCCTAGCATGCTGATGTTTGAGTGTATTTTTAGCATACACCAAAAATATGGGTTTAACGTGTGAAGTAAAGCACCTCTAGCCAAAACATTAATCCTCTGCTTCTTTTACGTTTTGTTTACACAAATAGTGCCGGAGAACTAACTTTCTCTTGTACAGCTTTATTGTGTTTTCTTATGACAAATACTTAGCTGTATCACTAATAAAGAATGAAGGACCATCAATAGAATAAAATCTCCAACCCCTGTAGCCCCTGACTTCACTTTGATACTAACATGAAGAATACTTCTTTGGATTTTAGTCAAAGTATTATGAAAACAAATTTTCTCTTTAGACTAATACAACAGCCTACCAGTATCATCCCCCCACCATTTGCTTTTGGGTGGCAGAGGGTTCAACACACATCACATCAAGGAAGAGACACCATAATCTTACATTTTTGAGTTACAAAGCTCCTTTTAACTCACCAAAGCAACTGGATGATCTTTCTTGCATTTTCTAGCAACAGCTGCTCTTCTATCTTTAATATGTAATGCTCTTTTCCAACTATTTGACTTACAGCTTCCTCCCTTCCGTATTTGCTTTCCAAAACATGAAACATTATGCAAGGAATAACTTAAGAAGAACTTCAAATCTACTTTTTATTAGCTAAACCCACATTACAAAATACCTTACCGTTTTAATAATGCACTGATCTACTTTCTCAAACACTACTCTATGCTTTAGCTTAGCAATACAACATATTGTACAATTATTTACATCACATGAATTCTTACTAATAGTATTTCATATTCATAAATAAGACTTTATATGCAGTGCTAAAATTTGAACTTCTGCTATTGCATAGTCAGGTGATAATTACTCATATGCAACTACACAAGCTGTACTCTACTTCCAGCTTTCACATAGCTGGCATTAATACTAACAATTAAACAATGAGAAGGCCAATCACAGAGAAGGCTCCAGACAAAAAAGGAAAAGTAAATCAACATTTCCTCCTCGTGTACTATTCCTTTTCAAAGCAGAAGGCAGAAAAAAATTGTTGGTACTTTATGTAAATACCGCACTGAAAAAAAAACAATCCAATAAAAGAGGAAATAAAGGATTGCAAAGAACAGAGACATTCTTAAATGAGCCATCACTTATTATTTTGAGACTCAGATTAAAAAACCCAAAAGCATAACAAATTACCACCACAAAAAAACCAAACCAACCAAACAAAAAAAACACAACCGACCAAAGAAGCAAACAAAAACCCTTGAGTTCTTTTCATACTTCTAACCTAAACATCAAATAACGTGAATGTTACTTAGCCCTTTACTATTACACTGTAGAGCCAAAGAAAACAAGGAACACTTCAAATTTCATGCTACATTTACTTAATTTTATAACTTACATCTCACCTGAGCTTTCAGTCTTCATAGGACAACAATATCTATTACTTTGAAACTCGGAAAACAATATTAATTTCTCATCAAAAGAAAAAAAAATGGAAAGACATGAACACACTCACTTATAGAAATACTTCGGAATTGCTTTTTAATGGCTACGAATCATTCAACATTAAAGTTGAATCAGATACCTAAATGTTGATGCCTTTCCAAAAGAACTTTAAGGGAACATATTCTAAAATATAAGTGCTGTGAGCATTTACCTTGTGTTTAAACATTTAGTTTTTCAGAATAGCTTACAGCCATGGTATTGATGACTGACTGTATTGACAGAGTCAAAAGGCACAAAGTCCCAGTCTTCTTTCTCTAAAGGAGCACATTTCATTACTGACTGTGATACTAGAAGCAGAAACAAGGCTATCATCGACATCAAAACGTTCAAACAGATCACACTCATCAATCTACAAATAGTAACCACTATTTCAAGATTATTTTACAAGTTGAAGAACTCCTTGCAAAATGTCACTAAATAAATTGTTTGGCTATGGGAGACAGATAATCTCTTAGAAATGATGAAATAAGGTAAAACACTTTAAGAAAAGTACCTTTGAAATGCGGTGGAGTTAGCAAAGACGTGAGATAATATCAGCAACACAAATAAGAACATGAAAATGGAAGTAACCAAGATAACACATTCAAACTGGTGAAGACAATAGGATATGATAAGAATTTCTAGATTTCCGTAAGAAAAAGACATTCCACACTAAGAAATCCCTTAGGCCAAATGAAGGGGAAAAAAAAGGGACACGCAGCTTTGAGCTAGATCCATACATAATCTCATCAAAAAAGGCTTTAGCCCCATTCTCTCCCCATGGAATAGCTAGACAGGATTCTGCATGGGTAGATTTGTTATTTCCCATAAGAGCTTCCCCTCTGACTTATAATTACAGTAGTGGAAGATTAAGCTATTAGGCAAGATAGAAACTGATGAGATTCAGTGAAGAAAACTACTGCAAATCAAGAAGAACAAATTGAGCTAATGACACACTTAAATTGAGGCAATTAACTGAGGAATTACTTGAGTTTACTAAAGAGAAACATCTCATTATCCAGTAGTGGTTAGAAACAAACTACATTAGACTTCAAGAAAAATAACTTTAAAGGTATTTACACATTTGGCTTTTATAAGCTAATTTAGGATACAGCATCCAGTCCCAGTTAGCAGATACACAGCCTAAGCAGATGTTCATTCTGCAAACAGTGATGCTAGATGAAGCTGGTATCACTCCCAGATGTTTATCACTGCCACCCTGCCAGAGCTAATTATTTCCACAGCCCTACCCTGAGCTCACCAACATGTGAATGACTTCTGATCCCTTCTACATAAAGTTAGTCAAGCTAATTCAACTCTCTTTTAAAGGTGGCTATAATGCAAACCAGCCGATTTTGTCTGAGACACATTACTGTGCACTCACACAACCCCTGCTCTCGCTGACCTATTAGTGTGGTAATTTCTGGCTCATGTGTGGTAATTTCTGGCTCAAGTGTGGTGATTATCAACTCACAGCAGGACCATCTTTAACCAGCACAGCTATACCTAATGCTACATGGCCTAAGGTATCTGAACGGGGCCTAAGCACACGTGACTTCTGGACAAATTAGCTTTAAAAATTCCAGTTATTCTTTGTTAAGGAAATTGAGAGTAGAAGGAAAACAGTGCAGTTGTGTTATATTCAAAGAGTTACAAATAACAAAAAAAACTGGTGGCCGAGAGGGGTCTGCCAGACTGCTTCATGGTGAACAGTATTAACTCTCGTTTTATTTATTTTGAGAACAAAGTGTGAGGAAAACCCAAGGAAACACTTAAGGTCATGTAAACTGGAGGCTGACACATGAACTGCAATCAGAAACGCCACTGACATCTGTGGTGAAAGGGAATTTGCAAAACAACTGTGTTCTACAAAAGTGAAAAAAAATTCAAGCCTTTAACAGAAATGAGTATGGAGGTAAAACGTAAACTAGAAAGGAAGCTAAATTAAGAGGGGTGAAAATAATCAGAAGTATGCAGACTTTGTGCAAATTAGGGAGTATATCTAAGAAAAAAGCTCAAAGGTGAACTGAAACACTTCAGACAAAGTGCCCATCTCTCCTCACTTGCTCTACTTATTCCTTCATAACTAAGAGCGCAGGGACCACCCAGAAATGTTAACATAAGGTGCAAGTAAGCTTTTGGAGCTCAGTAATATCGTTTTTAACATATACAAGCTACAACAGATGTTTATAAGAGATATAAATAGTTATGCTTCGGGGTATAAGCCAACCACTAACTGTCTTAGGGTTGTGAAGAAACTACCCAACCAACCTGTTAACACATAATTGTTCCTTTTAATTTTCCACTACACACGTTCTTTTGAAGTACTTCAGAGAGAAAAGGGAACTGGCAGATTCTGTATGGCTATTTATTGGTTTATTCTTAACTTCAGGCAGCATGTACAATACAACAGACATTCTTGCAGCTAACATTCAACAAAATTCAACAGAAACAAAATTAAAACACGGAGTTTGGTTGACATATGAAAAGCATCTAGAACCTGCTTCACTTGTCATCAAAATATGTAATTATATAGCTCCCATGATGCATGGCTAAGTCAAATATAAGCCGGGAGAAAGCTGCTCACCCTTCTCCTTCAGTGGGTTGAGGACACCATTATCTCATTCCAGCAGAGTGAGTCCCACTGATGTACCAGGTGCACAACAGAAACCTGGGAACCAACAGAAAAAGATTCAGAGACAACAACATACAGCACACTTTCTGAGACTGAAGATGATTAAAGAAGATACAGAAGGCTACACTCAGACAGTTGACTTGCTTGCTGTTGAGTCTTTATATTTTACTCTCTGTCTGCTTAGATGAGACAAGACACATCCCCAAATAAAACTCATAGGAACAACTCAGCTCCAAGTTTTCAGGGAAGTCCTTCTGCATCAAAATTCAGCATGAAGCCAAGAAAGGGCAAAGACTTTTCATTTCCCAATTTAAATCTCTTTCATAATCACACTTTGACTTGATTGTGGAATGTATTCCAGCAGTGGCTATAATCAAGTAATCTTCCACATGATAAACACTAGCAGCATACCAAGGAGAGTGTGCCATCACTGGTACTGAATGTTTAGAGCAGGCGGGTTCTGCTACAGATTTATTCAGCAATTTTAAAGAAACTTCACAAAAATTACCATTTACAGTTAATTTTATTTAATTTCACAGCACTTGTTTGATACAATAAAGCTACTTCAGAAGACTTGTAATGACCAAGAAAGCAAAGTAGCAAAGATTATAAAAATATTTAACTGAAAAGTATTACAGAATGCCTACAAAACTCTCACCGGAGGTTACTGATGCTAACCTTGTGCAAAGGCCATCTGAAATGATGGCTACAGCACAGTTTGGCTCTTACACCAGATTATCTTTGTTTCCCACACAAAAAAAAGTACTCGTGTTCCCAGTTCTGCTGAGTGCGTTAGAGCTGAAACGAAAGTAACTCCAACATTTCTGAAAGTGAGATGAAGTTGGTATCTACAATTCTGAACCAACATTTATCTGTGTACAGTGTATATGTACAGTTTTCCAGGTCAGATCACAGACGCACAAAATGCTAAGGGCCAGTCAAAACAGACACCATCCACAGTTCACAAAATCCAGCTCTGAAAGAGCTGAGAAGATACTCCAGGAAACAGTGAGGCATTATATGATTTAGTCACTGGTAAGAGATGAAATACTGAGTTAGGAGTCCCAGCCTACAACGACATGCCTGTTCATGAAGCCTTGAAGGGCTCTCTGTCCTCAGCTGTTCAAGACCTGTGTACCCCAAGAAGAAATTTCTCTCATTTTTGTCTTATTCCCTTCTTCGCACACTATTCACCTTCTGTAATTCTGGTACTCCTTTTCACTTTTCTCAGCTTACTGAGCTGCTTGCAAAAAGTCATTTCCCACTCTGCAGAATCTTCTGAACATAGGTCACTGCCAAATAAATGGGGATTATCCATTTTTTTTGTGTCTGAAGGGTCTACTTTACCATCACAAATCTGAAGAGCCTGTTTTTTTCATCCAGAAACAGCTGCAGCAAAGAACCCGTAGCATCTTGGTTGACAGATCTAATCACTCAAAAAATATGACGTAAAAAGAAGAAAGCAGTCCTTGCTTCCAAAGCCTTTCCCGAAACTCCAGAAACAGGCAAGCTGCAAGACCTCGTGTATGAGACATCAAGGGCAGAATGGAGGAAGTACTGAAGAAATGCAGCCCAGGTGAAAGATGCCAAGAAAAGGTTGGGCAGAGGAGTGAGAGGACATTGCAGTCATGTTGCTTTCTTCCAAAAGACAACTGAGAGCAATTACAACTACAGAGCCTACTCCGAAACATATGAGAGAAGAAAACGATAGAGATCTGAACTTGCATGTTTTGTCCTCCCACATACCTCAGAGGAGGCAAGAACAGGGCGCAGCTCACCTGTTAAAGGATGGAGACAACAACAAGGCGCCGTGGAGCCTGCACTTTACTGTTATCCGTTTGTTTTTTCATTTTTATACTTCCTGCAGACCAGCTTTAAAATCATGTTATCAATATAAAGAAGACAGTTAACTATGAAACCAGAACAAATGGCCACTTGTTTTGTTACTTAAAGGCTTAGGTTTTTATTATGAAGTAAAATACAACCTTGTTCATTCAAGTATAAATGAGCCCTGCATTCAGCAGCTCTCACTTTGCATGCCAGCCAGTAAGAAACAAAGACCTATGCATACATTCAGATCTACAAACATCAGCATACATAAAGGGTATGTATATATACATGTATGTGATTACAGATTCAAATAAAAATAACAAAGTAAAACATAGAGTACATATGACAACTTGCCAGCAGGGCTTCATTCTGCCTTTGCTGCAGTCGTTACTTATCTCCATCTACCTGCCTACAAAGAGACGTTAAGTAAAATTAAGACAAACAAATCAATGTGAAGTTGATGCACACAAGTTTATTAAAAACGCACTCCATGAGAATGCAGTCCTTACTCAGCAGCGAGGTGACTTTCATTTCCTCTATCTTCTGTACTTACAAAGTACAGCCATTATTTAGAAATATTGTACTTTTAGAAAGATTATGTTCCTGTTCAGGAGTATAATACCTGCCTCGGGGAGTTACACTACACAAATACAGCTCAACGATTATTACACAACAGCTATGCTGTCAATTTCTTTGGGAGAAGAGCCCTAAAAAAAGCCACAAAACCAATTTTCTGCTGCAGTAAAATGAGATTTACTTTGTGTCACTTTTTTCCCTTTATTGTTTGGTGATACAATAAAGTTATTTATATATTAATCTGGATGAAGATGAGATGAAATTTTAAGAAGAGTGCACCGTGCACTTTAAGAAACTGAAAATTAAAATAAAATCAAAATCCACTGCTAAGGTGATTTTTTTTTTTTTAGAAATTGAGGCTTCAATCTACCATTAACCTTTATTTGCACACTGAATCTTGGATGTATATACTGGTGGTGATGGGTCGACATTTAGACTAGATGATCTCAGCGGTCTCCTCCAACCTTAACAAATCTACAGTTCTATAAGATATTGGCTTTATTCAGCAAGATATCTTCAATACTATATGTTCTGCTTTGTTGTTCCATTACTTCTCCACAGCATCCTGTTTTCATATCATTCCAGTTGATAAGAAGGCATACAACATATTTGTATCACAGGTTTTATCTTCCAAGCATGGCCACAGTGCCACACTGTACTGTGAACAACAGACCATCTCATGAGAAGATGTGTGCCCCTTTAGCAGCTCACACTCGTTGAGCACACTGCTTTCTGTATTTTAAAGGGATTCTGGAAATTCTCTTATTTGCTGGTACTAAATACGAAAAAACCATTACATATATAAAAAATGGTGCCACTTTACATGCTGCAATTGCATACGCAGTAACTTACAAAATAGATACTAAGGACGTATAAGGCAATACACATTTCTCAAGGCACAACAGTGAAAGCAGATGGGTCTTGTCAAGAACTCCAGCTCCTTAAATCTGCCTACACCCTTTGGGTTTGCACCAGCACATTTCTGGGGATGCACACATCATCATGGCTCACGTTCATGGCTTGTGTAATTGCCTATTTACCGTCATGCTTCTTAACAGCAAGAATTCTATTCCAATCTAGTCATAAAATGATGCCACCTCAGCATGCTAGGTACCCTGGCTGCAGGTAGCTCTTGGCACTGCAGAAGGTAATCCTCACAGGCATAAAACCTCATTCTTCCAACTGTTAAAAGGTTCTTCAAATCAAGAAACTTCTGCAGCATCTCAGTTTCTCTTATCCATTTCACATTGCAATTTGATGCTGCTTTATCAGCTCCATACAGTAGAAAAGAATTATGGGGACTAGAAATTCTGATAAAAGGAAAACAAAACGTGAGGAAAAGGAAAGCTTCCTTCCCTAATTGCTCTGACACTCCTGAGGGATTAGAGCACAGGGAAGCAAAAATACTCCCCATCACTCTCATTCATTCCCAATTGTCCACACAGTAAATGATGACTCTTTTGCTATTTTTTCTTCTTAACAGTGCAAACTGAAGGACTTCTATGGTCTTTGCTTATGTATCCTCGCACGTGAATTCCTCACATATGTCTATTTATCACAGGACAGAGAATTATTTTTCCGTTCAAGATATACCAAATAAACTGTCATCATAACATCTAAGACTCCTACTATCAAAATGATAGCATGGTATCTGACTTGCTGTAGTGCCAAGAGGAGAACATTAGAAAGACAACTGAAGAACCCTTGAAGACCAGAGGGTGTGTATCAGCAGTTATACAGCTGGAACTGATTCTGATACAACTTTCCTACCTAATGATACTTGATTACTTTTTCAAACACAATTTTATTAATAAAGCAGAAGGCCACCCTCCCCATTTCCTCAGCACTCCCTGTGAATGAACAACATCTCTGCTCATGTGCTGCACCCAGTCCTGTATCTCCACCACTGCAGCCTCTGGAATATCCCCACAAGCTTGTCGTGGCTCCCTTACTTCTGGAGAAGCTCACGGCAACATCTCCTTTAAATTAAACCAGAACATTGACAAGCTCTATTTTAATCATGATTTCTTATTTTCATAAAGAAGACACAAAATAAGCACCAATCTTACTATGTCTTTATTTCTATTAAATATTCTTTACAGTGTTAGCAAGACATTTATGGAGGATGTCATTTCATAGGCATGGAAGTTTTCTAACATCCATATCACAAAACTTAAAAGTTTCTAATGATTCCATGACAGACAAACCTTAACGATACTGACATACAATTGAAGGAAGATGATAAGTTTTATTAAACTAATAACTGCCATTCAAACAGACTTAAGATGTTGAATACGTAAGCAAAAAACCCTCTACACATTTTTGAACATTTAAACGCTTAAGATTAAAATGTTCCAGTTATCAATGGTTTTATTTTTATGTCCTCAATGGTTTCAGAAATCATAGAATGGCTTGGGGTGGAAGGGACCTCAAGGACCATCAATTTCCAACCCCCCTGCCACAGGCAGGGCTGCAGGTTGCTAGGACAAGTACTAGATCAGATTGCCCAGGGCTCCATTCAAACTGGCCTTAAACACTTCCAGGGATGGGACACCCACAGCCTCTCTGGGCAGCCTGTGCCAACACCTCACCACTCTCTCAGTAAGTAACGGTTTTCAATAGGTTTTGGAGCCCTTCAAGGAAACACTAACTTGGGCCAGTTGAATAAACTAAAGCTACATGAAATCCCAGTCCTGTAACTGCCAAACCCAGCTGCAATTGACCAGCAAGTTTTCCACCACTTTTTTTTAACTCCAACATCTGGTTGAACACGAGCAGCCTGGCTCTGCCATCCATGCCCCCTGGGCTCCCCAGTCATCTACCACCCTTATTCCTTGTTCACTTTTCTTCCTTGCCCGCTGACTTCTCATCCCCTCCAGTTATGACTATCTGGAATCTCTTCAGGCTCCTGGGCTTACTGCATTCCTTCTAGGCTTCAGCCTCTGCTCCCCACCCTCCCCAAAGACCAGTCTTCACCTCTCCATCAGTACCACTGCATCTACATGCTCTGGGGTTGGGGAAGGAGCACAAACGAAAAAGGCTGCACAGGATTAAACTTACCCACTGCCTAATGCTGCAGGAGTCATCATGCTTAACTGCTTGGTCCAGATGATGATTGCACAGTCAGGTGACATGCAGCCACCAACAGACAGGGCGATACTCAAGATATATGGAATATTAGAGCAATTTAATAAACACTTGCCAAGTTATACACTTGATTCAGTTTTTCAAGAGCTTGTAATCTGATATAAGTTTCTCTAGGTACAGCCATATGTGTTATGTCAATGTGTACACTTCCTTTCCCCTTCCTCTGCTATTCTAAGTTTTAGAACCCAAGTGCTGAGTTGCTTTTAAATAAGCCAAAAAAGCACTTATCCTCCTGTTTTCATTAACACATTTACTTTCTCCCAATGTCTTTTTCAAAATGCCAATTCATTTTAGCCTAAACTTTCCGGGATAACTCAAACATACTCATAATGGCAAATTTCAGTATGACTAAGAAATAAGCTTTTGAAAACAACAACTTAAAAGAAAATTAAGAAAAAACAAAAAACAACACAGGATAGATCTATTGCTGACATTGCTTGTGCCATGACCCACAAACACCCAGTGGGCCAGAATACGTGAACTATGTGATCATAGACAGATTGGGTAGTTCCTTAGTTATAAAGTTCTTCAGTCCAGAGAGCAGGAGGCTCAGAAGAGATCTTATTGCTCTCTATAACCTCCCAAAAGGAGGCTGGAGCAAGGTGGGGGTCAGCTTTTTCTCCCAGGTAACAAATACAGGATGAGAAGGAATGGCCTCAAGTTGCATGGGAGAGGTTGGATATTTGGAAAAAATTCTTCTCAGAGAAGTGAGGCAGAGGCACAGACTGCTCAGGGATCTGGTGGAGTCACTGTCCCTGGAGGTGTCCAAGAGCCACATGGATGTGGCACTGAAGGCCATGGTTGGTGGGCATGGTGAGGGCTGATGGTTGGACTGGGTTATCTCTGAGGTCTTTCCCTACCTTAGTGATTCTACGTAACCATACAACACAGCACATACACTTCTCCGTTCTCTAGGCATGTTAAATATGTATGAAGCTCCAATTGACGTCTTATAAACCTGCTTCTTTCGAATATGAAAGACTTGGAATTTACTTTTTTCAGTTCTAAGTATTGTAATACCCTTTTCCGTTGTTCTGTTTGCTGTGCTGCTTCAAAAAAACTAAGCAGGATATGAAGTATAGCCAGATTTCCGTATTCCCTCCGTACCCAAAATAAAATGCATGGAATTCAAAGGGCTCCCAAGTACAATATAAATTAAAGTTGAGTGGTACAGAAAAAATGTATTCCTCTTTCAGTACATCAGCAGAAAGTCATCATATTCCCAGTGAATCACCCAGCTAAGGGTATGATTATCTTGGTTATTTGCCTCTCGTTTTCAAAATATCCCCTTTTAGTGTAAGCACTGAAATGGCCTCCCTCTTTAATACTAAATAGTCTTTTTTACACATTATATATATATAATGTGTATATATATATATATATATATATATATATACACACACATATACACATAATGTGTGTGCATATATATATATATATGGGGAGAAAAAGGAGATTATAGCCTGGAGTAGTTCATGCATTAAGAACAACCAAGCACATTCACATCACAGATGATAAGAAATTATGCGAAGACAAGGACCAAGTTATCCCCCTTTATTATCTCGATAAACAGTAATGCACCAGTACCAAAAAGACTGATATTTCCAGACTCCTGCTGTCTCTGTTTTCTACCCTATTTCCAGCTCTATTTGTGACTGCGGTGTTACAAAGCTATGATACGAAACAGCCTTAGTGAAGAATCAGCCAACAAACACGCATCCTTTAGCATCTGATTATCTGATGGAGAGCTGTAATGGACAGGATAAAATACTTGGGTAACATCTGGCAGCAAGCAAGCCAAGGAAGGCACTCCATTCGCAGCTTTCTTCTTGCTCCTGGACTCCCCTGCTTAGAAGAGCAATACGTTGTTTTACATTTTGTAAAGCGCTGAGCTGTGGTAAAACAACCTCCCATGAGACTTCGCATTTGTTAGCCTACAGCCCTGTAACAAGCACGGCTGAAGCAACCAGCTGCTGCGAGAGAAACCACATCCGTGGAATTTTAAATTTCACACACCAAAAATGACCCAGTCTTACATCAAAATACTCATCTGCTTTATTGCAAACTTCCACGTGTGCTGCTATAGCAGAGGTGGCATTCGGCTCTCACAGCATTACACAATATTCTGAAATACAGCTTGGGCCGCACCTCTCTCTATTTGGGACATCTCACTACCACAGGCTCTGTGGATCATTCACTCCTGGCTTTCAGCGTGTGTCTCAATAATAGCAAGAGAGTCACGCTCCTCCAAGAACTGAGCTGCGTCTCAAACACTTCCACATTTGCTGCAGCAGCAATTGTAGTTAGTAATGACCAAGTTTGTATATTTGTGTGTGTATACATACACACATAAATGCACAAGAATAAAGCAACTGTAACAGTTACACAAAATGTAAGGAGTTCTGTTTTGCCCTCAGCACAAAGGAAACGGTAACAAGACAAATGACTGTCCAGCACAGCACTCTATGAGACCCACCCTGAAGGAGGAACATTTATGAAAACGTATGCAGGCAAGGATACACTGCCATTGACTGAAAACAAATGTCCCAAAATCACTTCAGTGAGAATGAAGAGAAAGAGACTTCCAAGCCTCAGTGCAGTGCACCATCCCCTACTATACCCAACAAAGAACATTACAGAATATCTCAAGCTGGAAGGGACCCACAAGGATCATAGAGTCCAACTTCAGGTTCCACACAACACCAACAAAAATCAGACCAGGAATGAGAGTGTGTATGCCCTGTGGACTCCAGCACCGGGAGCTGTGCCCACCGCCCTGTGGTGCAGCCCCTTTCCCTGACCCTCAGCTGCCCTCCCCTGATGCAGCTCCATGCCGTTCCCTCGGGCCCTGTCGCTGTCACACAGAGCAGAGCTCAGCGCTGCCCCTCGGCTCCCTGTGAGGAGCTGTAGGCTATGACAGAGCCATTCCATCCACCATTTACTGAACTGAAGCTTATGTGAGGAAAGCAGTGTGAAACCTACACTGAAGCTTTCACGGGGTTATTTTCATCATAAAATACCACAGAAAGATGCAGAGCAGTAAGCAGTCTGCTGAGAAAACACACCATACGCTATATAGAACAAACCAATAGGGCACATTTGAAGAAATCCAGAATAACTCCCAGAATAAAAACAACGACATACCAAGAAGAGTGAAAACCGAGTCTTCAGATGGAATAAACTTAATGACTATATATGGTTACACACAGACCCAGAAAAGGATAATTGTGCCATTTGGTTTTACAGTCATTTAGAAAACAGCACTCGCTGCATTTCTCGCTGCTTGATACTCCAGCGCTGGCAAGGCCTGGCCATACCGCTAGTGACACAGCCTCCATCGGTTTCCTGGGCCGCGTAATCCGCAGAACACGTGCACAGCACCCGGCTGCAGGAGCCGCATTACTGTATGGGCGCGCACTGCATCTGCGTGGAAGCACAAAGCCCGGCACACCGGGGCAGGCCCGGCACCTGACTGCCATCCCGCACCCCCGATGCCCGCGTCAGACGCCAGAGAAATACTAGAGGCAAGGAGCTCCACACGGGCACCACGGAGACACCACGGGGCCTGACTGTCAAGGGCCCGACGGACGGACGGACGGACACCACGAGGGCTCCGCACCGCTCCCGCCATCGCTCACGGAGAGCGGAGGGCGCCCCGCGGCCGGAGCTGCGCGCTGCAGCTACTGCCACCGCCGCCTCTCCCTAGGCACCCGCGCGGCGCTGCCCCTTTAAGGACCCCGCCGCCGCCGCCGCCACCTCCCCTTTCCCTCCTCCCCCTCCTCCTCCGCCCCCCGCCGCGCGCCCCCCCGCCCGCCCCCGCCTCTCCCCTCCCTGCGCGCGCCCGGCCCTCGCGCGCCCCCGTCGGCGCGCCCCCGCCGCAGCCACACAACGGCCGTAGCGGCAGCGGCGGCGTTTCCAGAAACTTCCTCGCTCCCCCCTCCCTCCCTCCTTCCCTCCCGCCCGCGCCTGCCCGCCGCCGCCGCCCCTGACCACCCTCGGGGCGAGCGGCGATGCGGGCGCCCCCTCCCCGCCGTGCCGTCTGCCGGGCCCGCTGTCCCCCCAATCTCCCCCGCCCCGCGGCGCGGCGGCGGAGTGGCTGGGCCCGGCGGGCGGCGGCGGCGGGTGCGCCGTGATGGATGGCTGGCGGGCTGGCTGGCTGGGAGCGGGTTTGAGTGACAGCGCTTACCTGGGTGCCAATCTTCGTCACACTGACAAGCGGCTGCAGCAATCGGGACCCGCACCGCCGCGACGCGCGTCACCGCGCACACCCACGCTCGGCCAATCGGCGCCCGCGCCGCCCGACACGACAGCACGCCGCGCATCACGCCTCATCAATATGCACCAAAGGGGGCGGGGCCGGGGGCGGAGCGGAGCACGCCCACCGCGGCGGACGACGGGGAGGGGGGCGGGGCGGCCGCGTGCCACCGCCCTACGCCGGCGCGCCCTGGGCCTTGCTCATGAATATGCAATGAGAAGGAGGGGAAAAGGCGAGGCCGACTGGGAGGGAGATACCAAACGGCCGGGATGGGGCTGCGCAGCCTCCTCTGCTGGAGCCAGGTGTACGCCGTTCCCCTGAAGTGATGCAAAGACGGGAGAGGCGGAGAAAAGAGGGTCTGTTGAAGCTGTACTTTATGTTATAGTGGCTTTGCCTTAGGGATGTTTAAGGAGTTTGTCTCACTGCTGCAGCAGAGGGATTGAGCTCACACCCTTCGGCATTCACACACACCGACTGGACTTGATAATCCTTATGGGTCTGTTCCAACTTGGGATATTCTATGATTCTGTGACTCTTCAGTGGGTTTATCCGTCCCTCCAGACCCTCGCGACACCACAGAAAGCCTCTCAGCAGCCTTACTCAGAGGATGCACGTTGCCAAGGGTCTCCCCCTGATTCTGAGATGTAGGCAGCAAAGCTCCTTCAGAGTGTTCAGCCCAGAACGGGCACAGCCTGTGCTACTGCTCTTCACCAAAGAAGAGCATCTGGAAATGCTTCCATATCTACAATATCCCGTCCCCTTAATTTGCAGTGCCTGTGGCCTTCAGGCCCATTGGTCTATCTTGCACTGTGTAATGCCTTTCTGTGCCAGGCCATTGAAGGAAGACTGCTAATAGGCTGGTGATAGGAGCGGCTGCTGAAATATTCCTATGAGCCCAGCCTGCCTTCAGTCCACAACTGCTGTGCCCAAACCCTGCCCTGGTGACAGTCACTGTGGACCCCTCAGCATTCTCCCCACTGACCACACTGCTGCTGTTTGTCTGCTGGCAAAGCGGCCGCCTCACCCTCTGCCAGGCTGCCCTCAGCCCTGCAGCCGTGTCTTTTCCAGCTGCTTCTCCCAGCATGGCCCGATCCACACGATTGTCTAGTGAGGACAGTCTAGTGAGCACAGAGGCTAGTGAGGCTAGTGAGCACAGAGGGAACTTGTGCATCCAGTGGGGAGAGTGGGAAGGGAAATGAGCTGTGCTCATCCAGAGTGCTCACTTGTGTGAATTGGGTCTCAGCGTTCATGGGAATGACTTAAATAAAAATAAAAATAAAAATAAAAATAAAAAAATTAAATCCAACTCTTGGTTTCTCTTACAAGAGCCTCATTCTCCATTTCTGCTCTTGTGCCATGCCATGTCTCTAATAGAATTCCTGTGGCCTAGCTGACTTTTTCTACCACAACTTTCTTCTCTCATCATCCCTCTCTCATCACATTCACTGGTGACACATTCACCGCACGGTGCTTCAAATTAACTGATGCCCATGTTCAGACCTGCCTTTTCCTCACAATTGATTCACCCCGCAAACCCTTTGTTCTCCATCCGCTTTGCCTGCGCTTCTGTGGACAGGAGTTCACCGACTTCTGCTGAGAAAGAACAGATTCAATTCAAACTAATTTACTTTCTAATTCCTTCTCCCAGCTGTCTTCAAAGCTTTGTTGGGTACCTTTCACAATTTGAATTCCCCTTCCTCCTTCTTCCCTTCTATTTCTGTTTGCCCTTCTATTTCTGCTGCTGCTTTCTCTTCCCTAGCTCTCACCCCACAGATGTAGGAATTCCTCATCTGCCATCTCCCCCTCTCCCCTGCAATCACAGAATCATAGAATTGCTTGTGTCGGAAGGGACTATAAAGACCATCCAGTTCCAACCACCTGCAGCGGGCAGGGCTACCAGCCACTAGATCGATTGCTCAGAGCCCCAGCAATCCTATCTCACGGTCTCCTTTGTGATTAAGTTTATTCTGTGCTGTATTCCCCTCAGTCGCTAATGTTTTCTGCAGTACAAATATACATTCTAACTCCCTCAATCCCAAAATCATGGCATTTCTCAAGCACCAGCCTCACTGCCTACACGTGTATGCCTTATGGTCAGCTAGCTTTATCACAGAATCATAGAATGGCCTGGGCTGAAAAGGACCACAGAGATCATCTAGTTTCAACACCCTGCTATGTACATGCTCACCAACCACTAGTCCAGGCTGCCCAGAACCACATCCAGCCTGGCCTGGGATGCCTCCAGGAATGGGGCATGACATGGCCATATGAACTTCATTAACCTAAAAGTAACTCTTGATCTAACTCATGCTTTCCCATTGACCATCTATAAATTCCCTGTTCACAGCTGTTGTGAAGAGGTCCCTGTTTTCCATTTTGCTTTCAGGTCTCTCCTTGAAGGCTCAGAAGCTAAGCTTGTTTTTAAAAAACATGTCAGCTGAATGATTCCAGAAGGTGAAGATTTAAGAAAGGCACTATGAATGACAAGGCAACATTTGGAAAACAGGAGGAACTGGGAGGACAGGAGCAAGGAATGAAGAAGTAAATGAGAATAATTCAAAGGTGAACAAAAAAAAACATACAAAAGAGAAAATGAATCAGAGGAAAGGATAGGTAGCATTTTGTTTCTTTATTTCTAGTCATCCAAACATACTGTGTTGTCTTTCCTCAGTTTTCCAAAGATCCAATACACAGACTGAAGGCAGCTGTCAGGATGAAATTCTCCACACTGTGCATTTAGTACTACTGATGCTGTGAAATTCCACTGGTACAGGTGCATTCAAATAAGTGAGATGTTGACACTGCTACCTTTTTTTAATCTAAAAATGCGAAATCTATGTGCAAGGTTGAATAAGATGTCGTTTAAATCCTTTGTAATTACAAGTTACAGGTACATAAAAATTAGGTTGAGTATTATTCAGGGTGGAAAACGCAAGTAACAGAACACTCAGTTTCTCAAACTGCTGTTCCTTTCTTCTTATTGGACATATTAAATACACTCCCTAAGTACAGCTCATTACTTAAAGCAAGTACGGATATGTTTGTATGGTTGTAGCCTTACTTGGTTATTGAGAACAGTACCAGATCCCCACTCTCATACCAAATATTTGCAGACACTAAGCTGTTAACATCCTGTCTCACTGAATGAGAAAAGCACTCTCCAAATCTCTGCTCTGAAATATCCTTTCAGTCGCAATTTACCGATAGCAGGAATGCATAAATGTATCAGAGGGCAAAACTGGTTCCCACATAGAGCTGCGTGGTGGGTTAAGATTACTGTGGCATCCTTTACTCATTTCCAAGTCCTAATTATTACAACCGTGTGCACAAAACAATATTTATATGCATTAACTTTCTTCAGAAAAAGGAGGTTTCTTTTTTTAGATACGTAGCATTGCTCCTGATTGTGCCCTTCTCAACTCTTTCATAATTAAGCTTTCAAGAGAAACATTCACATAGAGGTGAAGAGATGGATTCCCGTGTAGGTAACAGCAATCTGCACTCATAACTTACTGAATAAAGACCACAGTTGCAGCAGTTGGAATAATCTAAGCAGAGCAGGGTTTTGGCTAGATTTCCATAAAAGTCAGGTGAGTTTTTAGGTGATAATCTCTTAACAATAGGAGGTCTCTACAGCAAACCAGTTTCTTCTTTCAACACCCACAGGGAGAAAGTATGTAATGAGACATGTCAGCTACTTAGATGTCCTCTGGCTGTTCGGAGAGCATTCCAAAAAGCAAACTTTGTGTGCCCTGTTTGCATGCACAGCACATTCCCATCTTCAGCCACAACTTTACGTGGCATAGGAGGAGCCTGGGAAAAATGTGCAACTTATTTTATGGTGGATATGGTTTTTAAGATTTTAAAGCTGAAATTAATGAGTTAACTCAGTCTAAATAAACGTCAAGCTTTGCTTGAACTAGATCATGGAGATCTGTGTAACTCAGCTGGGAACACTCCCTCTGGAGAAATTAAGAGCTCACGTCCCACAGCAGGGTTTGGGCTCAGACCAAGAGCTGGCACTGCAGTGCAGCACTTCTCCAAGGAGTTTCTGTGTCAGGATCGTGATGCCGTCCTTTTGGGAGTTATTGTGCGACGCTTTAAAAACTCCTTTAAAACTTCCTTTAAAAAGGGAGAAGTGATAAATCCTGTATCTTATTTATATCTTATTCATCATTTTTCCTCTTCTTAAATCTAATCTGAATTTCCAGATCTGTACATTAATTGAATCACTGGCTGCATACTACTCACTCCATCTGTTTATATGGTTGAGTCACTGCATTACCAATATCTAACACGTTGCTTGGAAAGAATTTTAGGCAAGCTGGAGGATAAAACCCCAAAGCTCTCTAAGATAATGCTCCCTTCTGTACGTTCTGTAGTGCCATGCTCTACTCCGCTCACTTTCCACTATCAGGGATGTTAATTTGAACAAAATGCTATTTTAAGAAAAAGAGCTTATCCCTGAAGTACAGCATATGCTTAAAAGCTGAAGAATGAACCATGATGTACAAAAACACTATTGCCACCCCTCAAGCAATGCTTTGCCCTGGGAATTGCACCAGGGGTTCCATGGTGATGGAACAAACATCTTTCACAATGCAACATATCTTTTTTTCCACTTGAGATGCTATGAACAGATTACCTTCTGAGTGCAAAGTGACTGCTTTTAACGATGCCAAAAGTTGACAGCATCTCATTGCGGAACTGCAAAGTTTCTTCCAAAATGTGTTACACTTAAAAAGACTTTCCTTCATTTATGTCACTGTGGATGGGTTTAGGGGATAGGGGGACAAAAAAAAAAAAAGAAAAAAAAAAAAGAGCAGAAAAGCAAAATTCAGATACTGAGGTGGAACTGATGATACACATCTTTAAGAAAAATGTGAAAAGAGAACATTTGGTATGAATCCCACCATGGAGGGCAGTGAATGCATTCACTTTACTCTGGGAGTTGAGAAGCAGAGTGAAAATAAACTGAAATAAAAGAAAACCAGTGAGACTAGTTTTACC